CGACTCATGACACTGCATCTCCCATTACTAAGTAGAAAGCAAGCCACATTGATCAGTGCCTACGCACCCACAATGACAAATCCAGATGAAGTAAAGGACAAGTTTTATGAAGATCTTGATGCCCTACTTTCATCTGTGAAGTGCACTGATAGGCTGATTTTACTTGGTGATTTCAACGCGACAGTGGGGTCCGATCATTCTACCTGGGATGGCGTTATTGGTAAAAATGGAATTGGCATGTATAATAGCAATGGTCTGCTACTATTGAAGACATGTGCTGCTCATGATCTGGTCATTACTAATACCATCTTTCACCTGCCTACTCGTAAAAAGACGTCCTGGATGCACCCACGCTCCAGGCACTGGCATCTCATTGATTATGTCATTGTGCAGAGGAAAGACATGCAAGATGTAAGAGTAACTAAGGCTATGCCAAGTGCTGACTGCTGGACTGCCCATAGACTCATCATTTCCAAGTTAAATATTCACATCAAGCCAAAGAATCGTCCACAGGGAAACAGAGTTGTGATGAAAAAGATCAACATCAGTACACTGGAAAACCCCGACGTAGTAGCTTCATTAGTAAAAGATCTTGACAATCAGCTCCTGGAGCTGCAAATACAGGAAAATGCTGAGAAGGACTGGGAATGTTTCTGGGACATCTTGCACTCTTCTGCACTTAGGGTTCTTGGACCTTCATATAGGAAGCAGCAGGACTGGTTTGATGAAAACAATGAAGAGATTAAGGCCTTGCTTGCTGAAAAACACCATCTCTACCATGCTCATCAGAATGACCCATCATCAACTGCAAAGAAAAATGCTTTTATAAACACTCGCAGGATTGTACAGAGCAAGCTCCGCAAGATGCAGGACTCCTGGTTGAGTGCCAAAGCAGAGGAAATCCAGAAGTTTGCTGATAGAGGCAATGTCAAATGGTTCTATGAAGCCCTTAGATCTCTGTATGGACCTCAGCCCTTAGGAAGCTCTCCTTTACTGGATTCGAGTGGTGCAACTCTTATCACTGAGATGACCCTGATTTTACAGCGTTGGGCTGAGCACTTCCACTCTGTGCTGAACCGCCCATCCACCATCAGTAATGAGGCAATTGACAGGATATCCCAGGTAGATATCAACTATAGCCTGGATGTCCTACCATCAGAGGCTGAAACCTCACAGGCCATCAGTCAGTGTTCCAGTGGTAAGGGGCCAGGATCTGACGCAATCCCAGCGGAAGTCTATGAGGCTGGTGGTGCTGTGCTTGTTGAAAAATTTACCCAATTGTTCCGATCTTTCCCCAGGAACTGAAAGACACGTCCATCATGCACCTCTACAAGAGGAAAGGAAATTGACAAGTCTGTGATAACTATAGAGGAATATCACTTCTCTCCATCGCAGGCCAGATCTTTGCACGAGTGTTGCTAAATCGCTTGATTGACCATCTGGAACAGGGTATACTACCTGAGACACAGTGTGGTTTCCGCAAAGAGCGTGGCACGGTGGACATAATCTTTGCAGCTCGACAGCTCCAGGAGAAATGTCAGGAGCAGAATCGTGAACTATACACCACCTTCGTGGATCTCACCAAGGCTTTTGGCACAGTTAGTTGTGAAGAATTATGGCGCATTATGTCAAAGTTTGGGTGCCCTGACAGATTTATTCTAATGGTACGGTGTTCCATGATTGCATGGCAGCTCATGTTCTGAGTAACGGTGGAGCCTTCCCTGTCACTAACGGCATTAAGCAAGGCTGCGTGCTGGCACCAACCCTGTTCAGCATGATGTTTTCAGCCATGCTGTCAGACACCTTTCAGAACAGCTTAGTGGGAGTTAATCTGAGGTACAGAACCGATGGGAAATTATTCAACATGCGAAGACTTCAGGTTGTCACCAAGGTAAAGGAGACTGTGCTACAAGATCTTCTCTTTGCTGATGACTGTGCCCTTAATGCAGGATTGGAGCAGGAAATGCAAGCCAACATGGACAAATTCGCAGCTGCTTGTGACAACTTTGGCCTCTTCATCAACATGAAGAAAACTGAAGTGATGTACCAGCCAGTTCCAAAAGCCCAATATCAAGAGCCTACCATCACAGTAAAGGGACAAAAGCTGCAAGCAGTGGACCAATTTACGTATCTTGGTAGTACCCTCTCCCGTGCAGTGACAATTGACAACGAAGTCAACTGTAGAATGGCTAAGGCAAGTTCTGCATTTGGCAGATTGCGGACTAACGTGTGGGACCGCTGTGGAATAAGCCTTGCTACTAAACTTAAAGTTTACAAGGCAGTAGTGTTAACTATCCTGATGTATGCTAGTGAGACTTGGACAGTGTACAGGAGGCACGTTAGGCAACTGAACTACTTCCACATGACTTGCCTTCATAGAATTCTGAGGATCCGGTGGCAGGATAAGATACCAGACACAGATGTCCTCTCCAGAGCAGGCCTATCATCAGTTTACACTCTGTTGATGAAAGCCCAGATGCGCTGGGCAGGCCATGTTGTAAGGATGCCAGATCATCGCATCCCTAAACAGCTAAACACATGGTGAGCTGTCTCAAGGAAAATGATTGCACAGGGGACAAAAGAAGCGATACAAAGGCATGCTGAAAGCCTCTCTCAAGTCCCTGGATATTAACATCAACTCTTGGGAACTTCTGGTGCATGATTGACCGACATGGCGTACTCTGGTGTAACAGGGTTGCCAGACATATGAACACAGAAGGACAATCTTGGCCCAAGAGAAGCGTGCATTCCGCAAAGCCAGAGTTGTAAATGCTGAAGTAACAATGTCTACATTTCTTTGTTCAGTATGTGGCAGAACATTCCATGCTAACATTGGTCTTATCAGCCACCTATGGACACATTGTTGATGGCCCATAACCCACAAGATGTCAAGGTCTTCATCGAACTCGATGGACGAACAACAAGCCACATCTGGAATACTGCATCCAGTTTTGGTCACCACTTTACAAAAAAGATGTTGAGACTTTGGAAAAAGTGCAAAGAAGAACAACTAAGATGATTAAAGGCCTGGTGACTAAAACATATAAAGAACGGTTGCAGGATTTGGGAATGGTCAGTCTAGAGAAAAGAAGGACTAGGGGGGACATGATAGCAGTATTCCAGTGTTTGAGAGGCTGCCACAAGGAGGAGGGGGTCAATTTATTTTCCAAAGCACCAGAAGGCAAGACAAAAAACAATGTGTGGGAACTAATCAAGGAGAGAAGCAACCTGGAATTAAGAAGAAACTTCCTAAAAGTGAGGACAATTAACCAGTGGAACAGCTTGCCTTCAGAAATTGTGGGTGCTCCATCACTGGAGGTTTTTAAGAAGAGACTGGACAACCATTTGTCTGAAATGATATAGGAACTCCTGCCTGAGCAGGGGGCTGGACTAGAAGATCTCCAAGGTCCTTTTCATCTCTATTCTGATTGATTGGTCAGCATTTATACATGCAGTCACCAAGAATCGAGCAACTAATGTAACTAAACTCTTCCCAGATATTATCAGGCTACCTGGCTTGTGGATCTCCCTTCCCTCTTTTCAAAGAGATAAAATTTAATCTCTTCAGTAGTCTGGCCTTTCATCCATTTTTCCAGGGTTTCTCGTTGATAAATGAACATAAGTTTGACCACACTATTAGCAAGATCCTTCCTTCCATCCCACAGAATGCTTTTCATCTGATAACTGAAAATTATTTAAGCTACATTAATGCTTGCTTATTATCTTGCCATCCAGCTCAAACTGCTAGTATGCTCTTCACTGATGCTACCAAAACAGAGCCAAAGCAAAATCTGAATCATCCTACCTCTTCCTTGTTCTTTTTCTTTTAGTTTTTGTCATCTGCACTAAACAGATTTTATTTTGAACACATCTAAAAGAGTTGCTTTTGATCTAGACTGGATCCTTTGCTAACCTCAGATGACTCTAAGTAAGCAAATTGCACCTGGTTTGCCAACTGCATCCTTTCCTGGAAAAATAGCAACTGGCCACTTGCAAATATCCCAGTCACCTCTAGACTTCATCACTGCAAATTATGCTATACTTCTGTTCATATTAAGCAATAGTGTGATATATGCTTTTTTTGGTTTGAGGAAACCTAATCAATTATGGATTGTTGTTGTTTTTTTCAAAAATAATGCTTAAGCAAACCATGACTTAGTACCTATGTGTAGATAGCTGAACTTTTAGATTAGAGGCATCAAACTGTCGGCCCATGGGCCAGATGCATCATAGCAAAACCATGCCTACCCCATTGCCGGCCATGGCAAAAAAGTCACGATATATAGCGACACGTCACATGATGTTGCGAGTTTGACACCCTTGTTTTAGATTGCATCCTTCATGTTTAACCTTTACAAACGATTCTGAAATTACTATAATGCAAATTATACTAATGAGCTGCTTATTACTATTAATAACAGTGAATATATTTGTCAATATCACATTGATGTCTATTTTGTTCCAAACAGTTCTCACTGCTAGTCTTAATACAGGAAATCTGTGGGATTGTTTGCTTATTTACAGTTCTTTGCAATCATAAGGTATTATTATTCACTGGTCTTGCTCAAAGGTCTTGCTCTTATGAAGTTACAGTTAAGTAGATGAGAACAAAGAATAGGCCTTTTATTTAATTAAGGAAAACCTGATAACAGGAGCAAGATTCTTTTATTGTTCCCATTTATCCACTGGTGGGATTCAACCAGTTCGCACCGTTAGCTAATTTTTTGATGCCCAGGCCCAGAATGGACTTCCAGAAGCAGCATCCACACAGAGAACCAGTTGTTAACATATTTGAATCCCACCACTGCATTCATCATATATGGAGACATTGTGGTCTTGGTGCAAGAAGTAAGTTTTGAAAGGCGACTATATTCTAAAAAAGAAATGGGCAGAAGGGCAGAAAAGTTAAGAATCATCCTGAGCTAATATTTAACCATTATTTATTTATTCTCTAGAGCAATTTCAGCAAAACCACAAAGTCCCTATTTGAGGAAGTGTTTTCCAAATAACACAAAAGGCACACAGCTTTCCAAGATGGATGAAGAAAAGTTTTCAGATGATTTCCGGACATATAAAGGTATCAATCTAACTTTCCTTTTAGAATGTAGTGTCTTTCTAACTGAGATATAGATTTATCCTGGAGGATCCCTTGCCTTCATATCAAGTTGGCTTCTCCAAGGTCAGCTTTTTGAAGCCTTATTTCCAGATGACTCGAGGTGTGGTGAGTGGCAACCAGGGACTAAAACTTTATGACAGTAAAGTAACTGATAGATGTTTGTCTGATGCCTGTCCAGTTGCCTTTTTAGCACTGGGTAAAGATCTTTCCACTTCCAGCTTTTAAAATTCTTTTATGCTCCACACTTCAGGTGATTTTCATGCTTGATATGATGCCATATTTTATGTTCAGTATTCCTTCATTAATTTGCTTTTCCACATAATCCCATGTCTTTTTTTCCTTTGAAGGCAACCAGGTTTCAAATAAATAAGCAAGTTGCTTGAAGTGAGACTTTCAAATTCTCACTTGTCTAAAGTATTTGTCTGTTTGCCAGAAAATCACAAATAGGTGTTGTTGCTAGAAATATCTGAAGAAAAATGAAGGATGACAGCATCCAAGCAGTAGCACAATTTTTTTTGAATGACATATTTAGACACAACAATTCCAATCTGCAACAAGAGTTTGGGAGGGGGTGTGGAAATAGACTTTAAAGTTTTGCTTCTTTCAACCCCACCCAATATGATTTGGTACCCAGGTATACCCAGGACTCCCCACTGCAGTCAATAGCTCTAATAGGAAGAAGCTGGTGTAAATCCCACATCAGAGAGGTTCGGGGGGGGGGGGGCTGAAGCGAGGCAGTGCTGCTACTGACAACCTTAAAATGTGTTGACCTCATTCCCAGAATTCACCAGCCAATAGTGCTGGCTGGGGAATACTTGGAGTTGAAGTCTACATGTTGTAAAGTTGTTAAGGTTGAGGAATATTGGTATAGAGCACGGGTGTCAAACGTGTTGCAACGTATTGCACCTTTTTTTGCATTGCCGGAGCTGGGGTTGGTGCGACCTCTGGCAACTGGCCCGCGGGCTGGCAGTTTGACACCCCTGGTATAGAGTACATCAGGTTACCTTGACAGAGATATATAGGAACTATTACCTAAGCAAAAGAGACTAAAGCATTGTTTGAGTCCTAAACTATGAGGCAAGATTCAGAGGCAACTCAGGCAGACACCTCCCTAATTCACTAAAACTGTAAATTGGAGGAAGATGCATAGCATCTTTCTCAATAAAATGGTTTTAGCCTGTCGAGTCTAATTTACCCAGTCAAGTTGACCCTGAAGAACAGCCTCTCCAGAGAGATCAGGCTGACTCCCTCTGTTGGTGCTTCAGAAGTCCTTGAAGACCAAATTATTTCAGAGAGCCTTCCCTTAATGTGAACATTGCTATTCAGTTTTTATTTCTTTTGTAGCATATGTTGTACACAAATGAAGACAAATATACATTGTACAGTTTCAATTTTTCCATTGTTTTAATAGCTGTTTTATTGATATCGTGCATGCTTTGACTTTTAGTTGTTCTATGTTAGCTGCCAAGGGTCTTTTTTTTATTGCAGTAGCATAGAAGTATCTTTAATATACTACAGATAAATGATACCATCCTGATGCAGATCAAGGATGCCATATACTTTACATTGACTAAAAAGACAATATAAAGAAATTCATCCACATGAGGAGCTCTTCCAGCATAGATTACAGCAAAAGAAGTGATCTGAGTGGACACCTGTTATTAACTGCCCTATCCCAGCCTTGAGTTGGATAAGTGTGGCTATTATTTGCTTTTTAAAAGCCATTCAGGCAAATTGCTAATTGTTTGAAGAGCTTTGCTTGTAGATTAGTCATCCCTCTCAAAAAAGCTAGCTAGCTAAAAATGTATTACTATAGAGTGAGGTCCATTTCTCCTACTATACAAATTCCAGTCAATAAGGCATTTATTTATTTACCATTAGGACAAATGGGACTGATTAGGTTGCAGCTTTCTGCACATTTCCAGATCACTGCAAGATTCAGCAGAGCTGAACTTTTGGACTCTGTCCTTCATGTTTTGCCATGAAAAGATCATCTGTTACCTTTTATTTTAGTTTACCTTTCAGGGTGGGTTTAATTGTGTGTCAAGCAAGCTAGTTTGACTTCTGACAACTGCCTGCACCAGTCCTTGCATTTTTCTTAGTGTGGTTTTTGGAAGTGGTTTGCTTTTACCTGCTTCACAGACCTATGTACCTAAGGCAGGACTAGAAATAATAGTCTCCTAGTTTCTAGCCTTAACCATCATATCAAACTGCCTCGATTTTTAGGGTAGTGCTGCAAAAAGAACCTGTTATAAAGTTCTACAGAATTTACAGTTCTGTAGCTATTTAGACATACGTGCATATACACATACAATCCTTCTCAGACATACACTGCAAACCCCTTAAAGCTGTTCCTGTCCTGGCCTGATGCTAGTGGGACTCTAAAATGGCTTAAGAAAATGATGTCCAGATAGGGATGCTTTGTCAACTAGTTGCTATGTATTTAGACAATAGTCTATCATGGTCCCCACAGACTAGTATTTTTCAACCCTGGCAGCTTTCAGATAGGTGAACTTCAATTCCCAGAATGCTCTAGCTAGCCTGGCTTTTTGGAGAATTCTGGTAGTTGAAGTCCACAGATCTGAAAGCTGTCAGGGTTGAGAAACAGTGCCATGGACAATTCCCCAGATTTTCTGTCTCACCAATCATAGGAGATGGCTCAATATCACAAGAAGTAAATAAAATGAAACTTTATTTTTTAAAAAACTCCAATGATATAACATGAAGCATAATTTGCAAAAATATTTTTTTTGTTTTAATTTTTAAATTAGTGATCATGGGGGAGGGACAGCTTTAAAATGACTTTGTGTTTATTTATAATATTACAGATCAATAGCTTTTTAATTATATATTGGGTCCCAAGAAATGAATAAAGAGACAATAAGTCTTGAACTCAGTTTGAAATTACACAATAATGTCTATACTAGCATCAGCTAATATAAAGCCCCTGCCCTCCTGTTTGATAATGATTTTAAAAAAATGTTATTTTTCCTATATACCAAAAGTTTGGAATGCAATTTCCAGCACGCTGTTAAAAATAAGTCTCTTGACCTAAAAAAGATTGCCCATTCTAAAAATAAGTGAGAAGGCCTGAACAGAATCCAGTACCCCTACAAAACAAGATCTGGAAACCATTTATTAATGAAATTTTCATTCCTCAGATTGTTGAAAGAAACACCAGGTGACTGAAAGAGCACATAGCTCAGGCCACTTCTCTTGTCTGCTATAAGGAACATCAACAGAAATTCCTACCCATTAATTGGACAACATTTCTACATTTTTGTTCTTTCCTTTCACATAAAGGAGGAAGAAACCTGATCCCAAGATCATACTTTCCGATTTATGCACTACTGGGTATCTCTTATTTGCTAATTCTCATTGGTTATGTGGTGGCCTTCTCCAAAGGTATGTTTTCCTCTTTCACGTTTTGCAATATTTCATCTAATAAAAGAGGGAATTTCTAAGGAAAGCTGAAAAACTCAGAGCAGGTTTCCAGTTTTTCCCTTTGCTTTTGGTTCAAAGGGCCAGAAGGATATTGACTCTAAAGCAAGATGGAGGATTTTTGTAGTAAATTATATGTAAGAGGAGCACTGGATAAATTTGCAGCTTTGAGCTAGAACAGCCTTTCTCAATACTGTATTTTCCAGCTGTGTGATACTCCCTCCTCCCATCTCTCTTAACCAACACAATCTAGGAATATTGGGAATTGTATTATAATAGATTTCAGGAAGGCTTTTTAATACAGTTAGTCCTTGACGTACGACCACAATTGGGTCCAAAGTTTCCATTACTAAGCAAGGCAATTACTGAGTCACACCTGCTTTTATGACCTTTTTTGTTATGGTTGTTAAATGAATCATTGCAGATAAGTAAATCATGTGATTGTTAAGCAAATCCAGCTTCCCCCATTGACTTTGCTTGTCAGACGCTGGCTGGGAATGTGGCAAATGGTGACCATATCACCCCAGGATGCTGCAACCATTGTAAATATTTTGATCACATGATCGTGGAGATGCTGCAATGGTTATAAGTGCAAGGACCAGTTGTAAATCATTGTTTTTCCATGTAATTCAAACAGTCGCTAAATGAATGGTTGTAAGTTGAAAACCACCTATGAGCAACCATCCTGGTTTTATAAACCCTATAGGCCTCTCTGGTACTGAAATGGGAGTGAAAATACAGTTTAGAGCAGGGCTTTTCAACCAATGGTAGGGGTACCACCTGTGGTACATTGGCACCTGGCAGGTGGTACGCGACCATCCTAGAAAAGTGGGAGCAGAAGAGAGGAATGAACTGAACTGGTAGCAGCACCGCACAAGCTTGAACAAGAGATGGCTGGAGCTGCCGGGCTGTCAGGGCTCAGTGGAAGCACCAGGATCAGCGCCAGGCTCCAGCTGGAGCTCGACGCTGATCCTGGCGCTTCTGCTGAGCCCTGAAGAAGCACCAATCAGCTGAATGTTGCCTTGTCTCCAGGGTCTTGTGATTTACATTCAGATGCATGGCAACTGATTCATATTTATGACGGTCACAGTGTCCCAGGGTTATATGAAGTGACCAAAACCTGCTGCAGCAACCCATCAGATGGGAGGAATAAAAACCAAACACCCCCCCCCCCACCAATCCTCAACAGAAATGTTCACAACAATAGAAACTTCGGCCAGGGGCAAGAGCACTACCAGGTGGGCAGGCAGGTGTCTTGCTCAGCTGTGGCTTGGGGGGCACTTTTTTCAGTGCCACTGTAACTTCAAATAGTCACTAAGCGAACTGTTGTAAGTCGAGGACTACCTGTACTTTATCACTTTTTTCCTTTTTTTGGGGGGGGGTCATCAAGTTTTTGACACCTTGCTAGGTGACTGGTGGTACTCGGATATTGCTGTATCCTAAAAGTGGTACAATGGGTGAAAAAGTTGAATAGCCCTGGTTTAGAGAAAGTTCAGACATGGAATCTACTGTTTTTAATCTAAGGTTAGATCGGCCTTTCTCAATCTACAACTGTCTCAGTTGTTCCAGCCAGGCAGATCAGGAAGTCTGGGTTATATAAAAGTTGATATCTAATACATGTTTGCAATATAAGTACAGCTTTAATCCCGCAACGAATTTGCCAACAGCTGTTCTTGTTTAGTTTTGTATTGTTTTTGATACAATTTTATAATTAAAAAAATCCCTGGCACAATGACACTTCCTTCTCATTCTCCAGTGCCATTCCCGCTGCTCTTTGTTAGCACATTTGTATACTATATCTATTGCAGAATGGTACTGTACAACACAGTATAGGATTGTATCCCTGGTTGCTGAGCAATTTTCTTCTTATGTATTATGGTGGGTAAATGCCATCTTTCAGGAAAAGAAATCTTATTAAAATAGTGTATAAGATGCACCAATTTCATTAATAAAATCATAGTTAAGTAGAAATTGGGAGGTTGTTTCCACTGAAACATTGAAACATTGCTGCAAAGATGTTTCAAAGATGTCCGCAACTGGAACAAACTCTTTTTTATTATTATTAGTTTATAATATACGATACAATGAAAATACAACAGCAAATAGCGGAAAAGATAGGGAAGGGACAAGGGAGTAGAGAAGTGAGGTAAGGGAGGAAAAAAAAGAAAAAAAATGGATTGACTTCTGACTTCCTTTGGTGCAGTAAAGTCGAGTGTCAAGCCTCAACTTTTTACTTTCACAAAATAATATAAACTAGCCATTTCGATAACATCAAGTCTATCTAATTGGTAAAACCCAAAATCAAAATTTCATTTTTTTTTCCACCTCAAGCACAACGTCTAGAAGCAGTTTCCATGTGGCAATAAAAATGTTCGTATTCTTTTCTTTATCAACTGGAACAAACTCTGAGGTGCTTGCCTTCTCTTCCAGGAATACTTCAAAGGGCTGTTGGTACTGGTGGTAACAATTCTGTAGTGACCAGAAGGAATCAGTCCTATGAGAGCAGCTTCTGAGATGGGCGTCATCTTCCCTTCTCTTCTTATTACAGTTCTGTTCTTATTATATGGAGTGACATTGCAAGGTTTCTAATACGCATTTATTTCCCTTCCTTTACAATCTTAGTCTCAACAATTTCATCCGAATTCAATAAGATGAGACTCGATTTTTCAAAGAATCCCCATGGCCAGGACTTTCACTGTAAGTTTCTCTATTTCCCTTAGCAGAGATTAGCTTTCTGGTCTCTAATTCATGGGGCAATTCCGCTCCAGGTTTTTTTTTTTGTTTAATTCTGCTGTAGGTAAAGAAACAGTATTACTTTAGTGCATGCTCTCTAGCTTTGTCTGTGCAACTTGTTTTATCAGCCCTTATCATCAGAAGAAACAGCACATTTTGATCTTGCATGAATTGATAAGCCAAGCCAGTATCAGTTTTTGACTTTATTTTTTTCCTCCTATTGTTCAGTGTTCCCATGTGGTGCTGACACTAGACAATGGGAATATTTTAGTGGAAAGTGTTACTACTTCTCCCTGAAGTCAGTTCCCTGGCATGAAGCCAAGGCAGACTGTGAACGTAGACAATCACGGTTGGTCATCATTGATAGTCTTGCAAAACAGGTAAGTTGGGACACCTACAGATTTGGTGTAAATTGTCTTCCCAGGACATATCCCTAGCAAGCATGAATAAAGCTAAGGTATCATTTATTTCTTATCTTGGATGCCTTGTTCTGGTTCAGATGGCATTCATTTCTAGAATTTATAAGAAGTAATTCAACCTCCATTTTTCTTCTGTTTTATGATTGCAAAGGAAATATTCTCCAGTCTAAATGCCCTTATTCATATTTCTTGGATTTTTCTCTTGCAGAATTTCATAGAGACTCGGACCAGAAATGAACGTTTTTGGATTGGTCTCCATGACCAACAAAGAGAAGGAGAATGGAAATGGGAGGATGGCAGTAATTACATAAATGGCTTTAAGTGAGCGCTGAATAATTTTTATTGTTGTTGTTGTTAGCAGAGTTGGGGAACATGTGGCTCTTCACTTGTTGTTGAACTTCAATTCCCAGATGCCCACGCAGCACTGTTAAGGTTGAGGGATATATTGGGGACTGTGGTTCATCACCAAGTGAATGGCTATCAATTGCTCAGCCATCATGAAGCAGAAACTCACCTTCAATTCCAGTTTTTTTCAATGTCTCTGAAATTCTGACAGGCAGAATAAGTGAATCATACCAAGTAATAAAAAGATTTTATGGTTTAACATGATGTATAAACTCAACCAGCAATCACTAACAGCAACATAATGCCCCTCAACATCCTTTAGACTTGTAATCCTATAATCACATAAAACCATTTATTTCCAGGCAAGGAGATCTGCGTCTACAGTATTTAGTAAATCTATTTGGTTGTGAAACTGATGAGAAGTTTCCATTTTGTTCAGATACATTTATCAGTAAAATGTTTAGGAAACAATAGCTTGATGGCTCTAGAGTTAAGTTTACTAAATCTGAGATTATTCTTGACTATTTGAGATAAAAACATGGACCATCTCTTGCTTCCATCTCAGGAATTGGAAGGCAGGTGAACCCAACACTTATCTGGGTCGTGACGAGGACTGCGCCCAAGTTTGGATTAATGGTGAATGGAATGATTTTATCTGCACATCCGACAGTCATTATGTCTGTGAAAAGCCCTTGTCGCCAGTCCCAAAAGTCCATCACACAAGCTCTGAGCCTTGAAGCAGAACTTCTCAAAAACAATTTGGAAGGAAAGATTGCAACCCTCACACCATGATTGACAAAGCAGCACTACACTTTTGCTAGACTAAGATCTCAATTTAACACGGAATCAGTACCATATTGGTAGCTCTGGATTATCTGACAATTCTGTAGCTAAATCAAATTATGCATGTAAATTTTCTAAGCAATTGTTTCCTCCAATCTGGAGAAACCAAATACTAATCTACCTTCCAAGGTGTGGAAAGTATTCCTGAAATCATAATATATGGGAGATTTATGCATAATCTAAACGTTATTGCTATTGCTGTGTCATCATATGAGTCACTGAACAATGTGAAAATACTAAACTTAAAATTAGTAAAAAAAATCACTAGTTATAATCTCATATTTGTATAGTAGTAATTACAACCACAGGGAAGAATATGATGCTGTATTAAAATTACCTGGGTTCAAGCATTGTACTAAGACATATTTACTAAACTGTGTATTATTGAATGAGCCACAACTGACTTTGTACAATAGGCTACAAGCTAACTTTTAAACTGTAACAGCTGGTTTTATATGCCATGCTAAAACAAAACCTAACACAGCACATAATGCTTCATGTGCAATTCTGCACTTCAGTGATACAAATGAAAGTCAAGAAAACACATTGTTTTTTGGACTGCAAAAGGCCAAGGTATGTATCAAGGATGAGTTAGTTTTTGGTCATGAGGATTTCATATGGTGTTAATTGGTAGGTTTGGACCACACATGCAGGAAAGACAAGATCACATCATCTCTGGAAATGCTCCCATTGCCCAACCCCTTTGGACACGTGCAAGTCAGCATCTCCATCTAATCTCACATAGTAGCAAATCAAGGAATTCATCAGGATGGGACACATTCCCAGCACACACTTTTGCCATGTATGAAATCACCACGCAAGACACCAGTTCAACCAGCAATCTTTACAGACAAGAGTTTGAATATGCTTTCTTTCCCAACAAGTATTGCTTTGAATCTTAGCATGGAAAAGATTATAAATAGCAATCTTTCAGCTCTTAGGGCAGTGCTTCCTTTGTTGCCCAAACTTTTTCCTTTGTTGCCCAAAACCACCTATCAAAAAGGCCTTTTCACCATTTATCAAAAAGTTCTTATTTCAACTTTCCTGTTGTGATTGGGCAATAGGTTCATGTGGCACGGAAGCGGCCACTGCAGCATCATCAGGGGTCCCTGCTGCCCCTGGCCTGGCCACCGCTCCTGGCCCGGCCGCTGCCCCCGGCCGGCCGCCACCCCTGCCGCATCCTCAGCCGAACGGGCGGGGAGGGGGAGCAGAACAGGAGGTAGCGGCTCTGGCGGTGGCCACTGCAGCATCGTTGGGGGTCCCCGCTGCCCCCGGCCCGGCCGCCACCCCCACCACATCCTCAGCCGAATAGGCGGGGAGGGGGAGCAGGATGGGAGGCGATGGCTCCGGTGGCAGCGGCAGCAGTACGGCAGCACCGCATTTTCAGCCGAACAGGCGGGGAGGAGGAGCAGGACGGGAGGCAGCGGCACAGTGGCAGCCACTGCAGCATCGTCGGGGTTCTCTGTCCTCAGCCAAACAGGCGGGGAGGGGGAGCAGGATGGGAGGCAACAGCTCCAGCAGTGGCCACTCCAGCATCATTGGGGGTCCCCGCCACCCCCGGCCCAGCCGCTGCCCCCGCCACATCCTCAGCCACTTCACTGTTGCAAGAGGAGGGCACCAAGGCTGGGTGCACCATGGGCGGCTGCACCAGCAACAGGAAATGCCGCCACAGGGGCGAAGGGAAGGTCCCGACCCGCCGCTGGCCCTGCCGCCCTCATAGCCCAAGGTCTCCTTCTGCTGTAGCACCGAGGGCGGTGGTGGCTGGAGGACAGCAAAGTGGTGTGGCTGCCCACTCGCTGCCACCTCTTCAGCCTCGCTCAGCACAACCAGCAGCAACAGCAGAGGGAGGACGGCCAAGAGGACCATGCAGCAGGTGGGGAAAGGGCCGGGCAGGCACTGTGGGGGAATCTCTTGAAAGAGGCCACGGGGATCCGCTGCCCGTGAGATGGCCAAAAGGCACAGGCAGAGAGGGGAAGCTACAGAGACCCCCAGCGACACCACCACCCCGACTAACAGAGGTGGTGGCGGAGCAGGGTGAGCGGAGACCTGCCGGGCAGGGAAGAGGCACCCCGAGACCGGCCACCTGCGACTCCTTGCCAAGGACACCTTTCCAGCAATCCTCCCAGCCACCATGTGCAGTTCGAAGAAGGAAAGAGGTTTGTGGGCAGTCCCACAAACCAAAGAAGTTCAACCAATCAATTCAAACTTCATAAGAAGTTTGAATTGATTGGTTGAGCTTTTTTAGTCCCACTTTTTTTTTTCAGACTGCACATGGTGGCTGAGGACAGGGAGCCACAGGAGACAGCTGAAAGAGCCGCATATGGCTCCGGAGCTGCGGGTGTCTCCTGCCTTGAGTACGGAGTTGGACTAGAAGACCTCCAAGGTCCCTTCCAGCTCTATGGTTCTATGTTCTAATTTACAAAGGCACTCACCTTTAGAAAGGATTGTTTGAGAGCATTTAGCTTAGCTAATCTGGAAAAGCTAAGGAAAATATTTGGATAGGAGACCACAGGAAATTCCAAGATTGCAGGTTCTCTTAAACACAGAGGTTTAACTAAGACTAGAGTAGAGGAAAAACAGAAACAAGGGAAGTGAATGAAGACATTTCCCCTTATATATCATCATTTGTCCTGCTGGTAGAAACAGCTCATAGGCATAAAGGGATGATGCAATGTGCAGCAATTCTCAGGGACACAATGAGAAGCTGAGGTCACACTGAGCTGAGTTCCATTGGAACACTCTGCATACAAGGACTGGTTAGTTGGCTCCATCGTATTTGGAGTGGGATCCTGCAAATGAAAAAGTTTCATAAGTATTTGGCTTGGCACTGAAAGTGGCTGGAATGGTAAGGGTGCCCTTTCATATCAAAGGGCTTGAGAGATCACTGCTTCCCATATGGAAACATATGCTTTTGCCACTAAATTAAGGCAAGAGATAGAAATAAAATAGAGACCACTGTTGGCCCAGGGTCATAGATTGGGGAAAGACTAGAAGTCATAGTCTCTTGGTTTCTAGCCCAGCATCTTTAGCTAAAATGGCAAAGGCATTCCAGGAAAACAAATATAACAACAGCAATATCCTCCTAGAAGGCTTAATTTTATCTCCCATCATGCCAAATATAATGAGGGAACATGGAAGATGTAGTTCAAATAAATGCAAGAGAACAAATTGCTGATTTCTGAGTTAAGGATTTCTGCTGATATATTTACCAGTCAGTCTAAATTTCCTGAGTCGGGATCCATTGGGGACAATTGAGCTCTTCCACTGAATACTTGTAATATTTTAATTTTAATATGTTCCCTACTTTCCTATTAATTATTGGAAGCATCTGAGCAAAACAACATTACCAATAAAGGCAACAATCAATATTAGAGTTTTTCCTTTTATTTGCTGCCAAGATTAGGAGGTGGCATAATATTTACAAGATGCCTGAACCAACAAGAACTATGGATCCTGACTCAGTTCACCTTCCAGCAACGATCTTTGCCAACTGCCAGAGGTCTGAGAAACAGAGAAAGTTCCTCCTCTTGCTGTTCCAAATAATACAGTAAGTGTGCTCTACCTTCCAAAGTTATAACCATTCCTGATGAGCTAATTATTGCAATGAAGCAATCAATCCTTTGGGAGGAAATAGAACATAGAATAGCAGAGTTGGAAGGGACCTTGGAGGTCATCTAATCTAACCTTCTGCTTGAGCAGAAGACCCTGTACCCATTTCAGACAATTGGCTGTCCAGTCTCTTTTTGAAAGCCTCTAGTATTGGAGCACCCACAACTTCTGAAGGCAAGTCATTCCACTGGTTGATCGTTCTCACTGTTACAAAATTTCTCCTTAGTTCTAAGGTTGCTTGTCTCCTTGGTTAGTTTCCATCTATTGTTCCTTGTCTTGCCTTCTGGTGCTTTGGAAAATAGTTTGACACCCTTGTCTTTGTAGGAGCCCCTCAATTATTGGAACACTGCTATCATCTCTTCCCTAGTCCTAGACATACCCAGTTTCTGCAATTGTTCTTCATATGTTTTAGCCTCCAGCCCTCTAATAATTTTTTTGCTCTTCTCTCTTCTCTGTTTCAACATCTTTTTTATATTGTGATGACCAGAACTGGATGCAGTATTCCAAGTGTGGAATGCAGATCTTTCCAGTGGTTTATCACAATGGCTGACCTTCTGAAATTGTAGCAGACACTGCTGAAATATTTCTGAAGCCACAAGCTCTCCTTTTGCCTTTTTTAAAAAGCTTTTTCCAGCCTTCTCAGTTCTTTTCAGCCTTTTATTTCCCACCATTCCATAAATCCCTCTCAACAATTCCTAGAGAGTGGAATGGGGAATAAGTTCCCAATTTCCTTTTCTCAAGCCATGAAGTGAAACTGATCCTCAAAAGGACTGCTAGGAAATCCCCTCCTTCCACTGGTCTGGAAACCCACGTTAAGAACCAAGTAAGAATTAAGAAGGGAGAGTAGCTCAGAGGGCTAGAAGAACTAACCAGTGGGGCAAAGAGAAAGTGGATAGCCAATTGAGTAAGACAGTGATGGGGAACCTTTTAGAGACCGAGTGCCCCAAAACTACCCTGCCCCCCACCCCGACTACCCGCAGGGCCACCCACCGCCTCTATGGCCCACCGCAGCAGATCGCTCAGGTGGCCCAGCAGCGCCATCCTGGCCATGCCCTCTGCTCACGCCCCACAGCATCATCTGTGCATGACAGCGTGAGGGCGGAGTCTTGTCCCTGCTGCCTGGCTACCATGTCCTTGGTTGCGTTTCTCTGTACTGGCCGCACCCGGGGGTGACTCTCCTGCAGGGAGGCTGGTGAGGAGGGGGCCACGGGGGAGGCAGCACTGGGATGATGGCACGTGTGCCCACAGAGAGGGCTCTGAGTGATGCCTCTGGCACACGTGCCATAGGTTCGCCAAAACTGGAGTAAGATATAAGCATCTTGCCAATTTTTAGGAGAAACAGAGCAATCAGTGGGGAGGAGTATTTTTATTCCCTGTTGTTACTAGGCAACCTTTAAAATATATTTTCTTGAAAAGTGATCAGTGGTTGTAGTAACATCCTGCTGTCCTACATATGGAGCATTCTTTTCAGAGTTACAATGGGCTTCCAAGGAACTTTTTAAAAAGATAGATAAAAACCTGTCAAAATGTAGCCTCAGGAGTTACTTTTTAATTATTTCACTTTTTAGATGATTGAATATTTTTTTTCAAAATGCGTTTAGGTTATATTGTATACCATGTCAGGTCCTTTACGGCAAGATGGTATGAAAAGTATAAATAAAGGCAAACATAGGTCTGAGCCTGAAAGTATCGGTTTTAAGGTATTACCTCTATTGTATAGCAGATATTGGATATTCTTTCAGGAGCATCTTTTGCAGGGGGCAGGGGGTCAACAAAGAACTGAATCCTTTTTCACATTTATTGTATGCATGTTAAAATGGGGAAGAGTTTTGATCACACAGTTGTGGTTCCCATCTTGACTTTTTTTTAACCACCTCACCACCATCCCATAGATATCCTTGTGCTCCCTTTTCTTTATGACTTAGAGACCTAGTATATAAAAAGGAGGTTCAGTGAAAATAAGGTGTTTGTTTCATAATCATGGAGTGTTATTTAAAGAGTTAAATAGACATCACTAGCCTGATATTCATGTAGGCGTATCATTCTCTGGCCCCATCAGACTTGGGAGCTATTGTGGGACATTCTAGTGATGGATTAAGAAGTATCAGCCGAACATGGTAGCTCTTCTAAGGGTGCAGGTATGGCAGAGTAGTGAGTATATGCTTGTCTGTGGTACTAAATAAGCAGTGCACAGTAAAAGTGCTAAGATGAGGTTGTTTCATTGCTCAATGGATTATTTGTCCTGCAGAAAAAATATGGCATTAAAGAAGAAGCTCTAAAAAGAACTGCACTTATCAGTGATAAGAGATTTCATTCCAAAGGAAGTTATTCTGGGTCATCTCATATGCCAACTTCTTAACGCTCAAGAATTGACAACCCAATGAGATAATCTAGCCTTGCCTTCAATATCATTGAGGCCAAATCATAATAGGTTCTACAATGGAAGTTAGCCAGGAAGAAGGAGGGAGCAAGCATTCAGACTGAAGGGACCATTTAGGATGCAAGAGCAAGAAGCAAGCTATGAATCTCTAGATCAACCACTGCCAACTTTTCCAGGTGTTGGTTGCAAAGCAGTATCATCCAGACACTCCCATCGTGTGATCCTACTAAAATCTTCTATGTCATCACTGAATTGTCATAGGATTTCTGTCATTTCAACCTTGCTTAACAAATTTAATTTGTCCTTGGAAGAGGATGAAACAAGAGGGAAAACACAACTTTAATGCCCGTAGAATTTAGGGAAGCTTAAGGCAACATCAAATGAATACGCAAAACCCCATTTCTCTACCTGAGCCTGCCCAACATCTTCAATCATGCTGGGAAAAGCAGTTGGTCTCTTCCATTTTGGGGAGATCAGGAGGGGAGTGAAGCCTGGAGGCAATTTTTTTCTGTAATGGGGATAGTCCTCTGGAATAGCCTCCCCCAGGAGGTTCAGTTGGCTCCAATACTACCCATTAAAAAAAAAAGTTGAAGATGCAGATTTTCTGGAGGACATTTGGGTGCTGACATCCAACTTGGCACCATTATTTGGGATATGAATGTAGCGTATCTTTTATTATTTGTGATTCATCTGTCATCTTTTTTGTGCTTGGGCTTTGCTTAGTCCAACATGGGCAAAAAGATGATTCTTCAAATATCAGATACCCAAGTCTTTTAGAGTTTGGGCTATACATGCCAAACAACTTGAAAAGACCCCATCCCCCTCAATCATTACTTAAGCTACTGGTTTCCATAACTGAGACAATATGAAAGTCTTTTTTTCCCCTCTAATTATAATATTATGGAAAAAAATAAAACATGACAGTTTTTAAGTCTACTCACTTAGAAAGCAACTGATTCATGCAAGGAGGTAAAACTATCGATTTCTGGCCTTTGAACAGGAAAAACAAATCATTAGCAAATTGCCCAAGGGCAGTTTTTTTTGGGGGGGGGGGAATACTGTAATGCTCAATCAATGAGGTTGTAGGAGGTGACCATACTAAAAAACAAAGAAAGAAAAAAGTTGTGGTCAGAGGGCACCAGAGCTGGGATGTAAACTGTTCTGCTGCTAGCAGTTGCAGCTTGATCTCTCAGTAGAATTGACAAGGTGAACTGCAGTGTCCTTATTTTACAAAACCAAATGGAGGATGAAATATTTCAAGATGATCTTCGCACTAATAAAAGTAATTTTTTTTTTCCTTCTTGGCAATCAGTAATCAACAGCTAAAGAGTCAGATTTCATCTGAAATTGAGATTTAAAATTTACATTTTTAGATTTGTAATCATAGAGTTGGTGTACGTAAGTAGTGTTTATCATATTTTCCGAAGGCAGACCTCTATTTGAAAAGAGGCTGGAGGACAATCCTCTATTGCATTTCTTCTTTCATTTTCTTTCGTAATGTATAAAGGGCCAAAATTAAAGATTCAGAAAATAAAACTGATTTAAAATGTTTCTGATTATGCATGTTGAGCTGTAATGCAGCTGGAGAGCACAGACGTTTTAAGGAGTTCTAAGCCAATTGCTACCCTGATTTGGTTGCTCTGAAGACATTCTTTCATTGGTGGGTTGTTCTGTTGATATATTGAGTGGGTTAATGGGATTTCCTCATTTCCATCATGTGTATATGTGGATTTTCAGCTAGAATAGTGGAGTTTCCAAATCCAAGAATCTCTCCTGCACACATATTTTTGCATGTGTGCATATGCCTTCAAGTCCTCTTTGACCACCTAGACTACACTACTCCCTGAAATTTTGGGAGAAAATTTTCAAAAGTGGCTTTCCCTTGCCATTTTCCTATGGCTGAGAGACAGTGATTGGCCCAAGGTCACCCAGCTGGCTTTGTACCTAACATGGGTTCAGGATTTACAATTTCCAGGCTTCTAGCCTGGTGACTTAGCCTATACACCAAATGGTTAGGTTAAGAGCCCCATAGTAACTTTCAGTGCTGGACTGTGCCCCTAACAAAAATTGGTTAAATTAGAGCACATGCATGACAGATTAGTATGTTTACCCTTTGAGATGTGGGAATATATTTAGTGCGTAGTTAAACTAAGATACAACTCTTAGTGCAGTAATGTTTTTCTTTGTAATTATTTTGTTTTTATTTAGCTTGTTCAGTTTATATTACTTGTCAGTTATATTCTCTGAGGAGCTGCAACTAAAGGCAACAAAACAAAACTTTTACAATTTTTCAAACTTCATTTGAGAGAAAGCTACCACTCGGGAACAGAACAAGCAATCCCTTTGCTACTTGTTGCTTCACAAACTCATACAAATAGAGACACACAAGGGAGTTTCTTTTTCTTAATATGGTAACTTATTTTATAGCATACCAACTGTTCTCTGGTTCATCTAGTTATTTCCTATAGTGCTCAAAATAGAAACAGCTCTGGGCCTTCCGGTTTGCCATTACAGTGCTGCGGACGCTGAAAGATGAGCTCCATCTTTTGCATTGGAATTCGACCCGCTGGAGGACCCCGGGAAGGGTCGAAAGTCACCCTGTAGGGGCGATGAGCAAGGAGGGGACCTCCTCTTGATTGCAGCCCTTCCACTTGATCCAAGGCAGCCCTTCAAACTGGTGGGGGAAAGACCGGCCATAGCAATATGGCTCATCACTAAGCTGCTGACAGCCGAACTCAAAATTACTATCAAGCACCTTTAAAGCAACGCGGATGAAACTGGGTGAGATCTGATCTTCTCTTTAAGACTTTAAATACCTTTTCCTGTAAAAGCTGCCCAAAGTATTTTTTCCCCTGTGAGGAGAGAGGGAAGGGAATTTCTACCCCACCCTCTAAGAACAGCGACAATTGACTACCCAGGGGAAACAGAGCAACTATAAGAAGAATTTTAATCTAATTAGATACATATGCTTTTGAAATTTGGGGACTAAAAGTTTTCCTATTTTTACTGGAGACGTTTGTTTTTATCTAAAAAGAAAAGAAATAAATCTTGAAAAACTATTATAAAAACTTTGAACTCAAAAAGTTTTAAATGGCATCAGTGACATCTTGTGGTGAAGTATGGTATTACAACTTGTTATTGCCTAAAAGAGACTTGGCTTGAAGCCCAGATTCTAGAAAAAATTATTTTGACCTTGACAGATACCACCTGTGAAAAACTCAGCTGTAAAAAAGGGACTTCAGGGTGGCATATCTGGCCTGTTTGAACTATGAAGATAAACCTTTACTGATTTTCAGAGTTACTGTATATGTGGGGAATTGCTTTCTTATTTCTTTACATGAGAAGCATTTGTTATTACATGAGATGATGGAATACTTTGGACTATAAATTCTTACTTGGCAAACAATTTCTACTATAAAGACTACTTACAACACGTGAAATAGATGTCCCATACCTACTTATAAAAAACAAAAAACTATTGGGACTTCCGGTGGCTGCGTTGGTGTTGATAGCAGCTGTTTTACAGCTGCCTCTCCTGGGAGATCGTAAAAGCCGGTTAAACAGCGATGACCAGCTGTTTTATGGCTTGAAACCTTCTTCCCGGGTGAAGGGAAGAAGGTGAGCTTTCTCCTGGATAGGAGTTGAACCTCACCAACATCCCAGGGATTTTTTCTCGGGAGGTGAAGTGTGAGAGATCCTCCAAAGTCCGGGTGTTGCTCCGTTTCCTGGGATGCCTTTGTTCTCCGAGAACGAAGCCAGACGCCGCCTCCACTGCTGCTCTCCTAATGAAAACTGTAAGTGACTTTTAAAGCAGACAGAGCTCTCAGGAGAACAATGACTGGATTTTACTTGTAACTTAACTCGGGGAGAACTAACATCTTCTCCTGTTATTATCTGAACAAATTGCTGGAGCAAGAAATATGGCGGAGGAATATTGTTTCTTTGTTACTCTTCTTGTTTGAACACTTTCATTTTCTACTTTTTATTGATCGAGCTTTATCAACATAATGGACTTGATGTGTTTAAGAGAATTCTTTTTTTAAGGAGTAAACTTCTCTTTTTTTGCTGTTCTTGCTCTTTTTACTTTTACTAGTTTTTAATTCTTTTTTTAAAAAAAATTTTTTTTCTTTGTTAAAATGGCCTCAAAACGTCCTGGACCTGCTTCTCTTCCTAAAGTTGCAACTCCTTCTTCAATAACTCAGACTGTACAACAACAACCCAGACCTAAACTTTCTCCACCCTCACTATCACCGCAGTCAATAACACTTAAAGATTTGCAAGATGCTTTGGAGAACATTTATGAGAAAACTATACAAAAGACAGCAGAACTTATTGAGAAAAAAATGATCAGATGAGAGTAGATATTATTTCTGCACTGAAGGGGCTTGCTGGACTTGTAGAAAAAATTGATGACAGGGTGGATGAAGTGGTGGGGAAGGTTGAAATACTACAGGATAGAGTTGATAAGATAGAAGATAATGCAGACAATGTTCAGGATGAGATTTTAATGTCACAATATAGAGAAATGGAGTTCACTTTGAGAATAAGAGGCTTGAAGGAGAATCTTCAGGAGAATTTGACGGAAGAAATTGCAATTGAATTGGCTTCTATTTTGGAATGTGACCCTGAAGCAATGTTGAGAGATATAGAAAAGATTTTTAGAGTTAATTCATGGGTCGCAAAACAGAGGAAGCTGCCAAGGGATGTGGTGGTTTGTTTTGCTAGAAGATCATTGCGGAATGAAATTATTCAGGCTTTTTATAAGCACAGATTTCAGATTGCAACTCAAGATGTGATAATCTTAAAAGAAATACCTTCAAAAATCCTTAGGAGAAGGAGAGATTTTGCTTTTCTGGTGGATGAACTTAAGAAACAACAAATTCAATTCAGATGGGATATTCCTGTGGGGATAGTGGTGACTTATCTTGGCTTACGTTATCATCTTAATACAATTTCTAAAGCAAAAGATTTTTATATGACTGTGTTAAAAGCAGAGTCACCACCATCTCCAAGATCAAAAAAAAGATGAGAGCAAGGCAGAAACACAATCTGATGTAGGCTTAAAGCCACGCCCAGGAGAAGAGTTATTGGTTGAATCTATTCAATTAATTGATGACCCAAAACAACAGAGAATTACACATGCTGCCTATAAACGTAGAGAAAGAGAACAACAACAGCAACAGCAACAAAAGGTTGATGATGTTAAAGAAACTATTTTAATGCTGAATTTAATAACAGCAGCAAGACTATTGGTGGGTCAGTATTGGAAAAAAGATTCTCTGCCTTCTTTGGAAGAATGGGTATTCAAGGTTTCTAACTTAGCAGAAATGGCTAAAATTTCTGCTTACTTAAAGGACCATTCACAAAAGAGATATGTTTCTGTATGGAGAAGATGGATAGAATATATTCAGAAGAAGTATGGAACAACAAAGTTTCATTTATTTTATGAATAATGGATTTTTATTAAATTATGAATTCAAGTTTGCAGAGAGTTAAGGGTTATTAGGATTCCGGTTATTGTATAAGTAGTAAATTTAAGTTGACTATGTTTAGTTTTCTTTTTTTTCTTTTCTTCTTTTTTTTGTAACCTTGTACTGAGTTCTGGGAAGTCGGGGGGGAAAGGGGGGTAGGGGGAGGGGAGAGGGGAGAGCATGGGTAGTATGTTCAATAGTTCAGATTTTGGTGATAGAGGATTGCTCAGGCATTTTCCCTCAGACCGCATCCGATTGAGAAGAAGAGGAGAGGGATAAGTAAGTAGAAAGATGGAGGACAGAGGGAAGGGAGGAAAGGAGGAGGTAGAAGGAAGGGGGAAGTGAAGAGATGAGAGGGGGATGCGGTCTGGGGGGAAATGGGTGAGCAATGTCAGAATTTGTGTGTTGTATTTTAACTTCTTATGTATCTGAATTTTTTTTCTTATGATCGTAATGAAAATAAAATAATAAATTTTTTTTAAAAAACAACTATTTTTAATATTTGATTTTAAAGTCTTCAACTTAACACATTATCAAGAGAATATGGATGAAGATCAGGAAAAAATCCTTTCTATGTTGAAATCAATACACAAAACCATTCTTTCAGCTTGTGACAAAATAAGATGCAATACAAAGGAACAAGATACCAGCTTAGATATACAAACCCAGGAGAAGTGGAACAACTAAATACTGAGGACCCAATTGACCAAAAGATCCAGCTAATGGAAAAATCAGAAAAGGGAGTGACCACATTGAAAATAGAAAAGACTTTTTACATAAATCAGAAGAAATTTGAGAAAAAGGAAGAAGAGCAGATTGAATGGAAGGTAAACCTATCAGGATAATTGTGGGAAATTGGAATAATAGGGAGGTGATCTAATGAATACAAATGGGCTAGTTCTTCAAAAAAAACTGTAGCCAAATGGTCTTTCTTATTTCAAATAATACATATAATAATAGAGGGAGAACTGTTTGAGGATTCAAAACCTTCAAAAATGGAAGGTTAGTTGGCAAAGGAAGAAAGCCAAAGTAAGGCTGAAAGAAACTAGGGTTTTGATTTATTAGAGGGGATTTCATATTACTGATTAGAGGGTTGAATATGGTGGAAAATAATTTTTAGAAAATAAAGTAACATTATAATTGAATAGGCAAGATGTGTAATAAGACTAATAGACTTTTGGTTTGTTTCTGATTGTGATGACAAAGAGATTATTTTAATGTTAAACTTAATTACAGCAGCAAGGTTGTTAATAGGGCAATATTGGAAGAAGGAATCTTTGCCTACTTTGCAGGAATGGTTTTTTAAAGTTTCTTACTTAGCTGAAATGGCAAAAATTTCGGCTTTTTTGAAAGATCAATCGCAAGAGAAGTACCTCTTGGTGTGGAAAAGATGGATAAATTTTATACAATATAAGTATGATATAAGAAAATATCATTTAGCTTTTGAATAATTTATATTTAAAGTTTAAGATATTATTTAGAAGTGTAGAATAGTTTTGTTTTTTTAATTATTTTTTTTATTTTTTTATTTTCTTCTTTTTCTCTTTCTGGTTTTTATATATAATGGAGTTAAAGTATTTAATAATTTGTTTACTGAATGTAATTATATTTGTTTGAGGTTTATTTGGGTTTAAAAGTTTTTTCTTTTAAGTTCTAGTTAACCCTGTATTCAGCTCTGGGAAGAATGGGGGAGGGTTTTGGGGTGGGTTGGGAGGGATTGGGGAAGGGGTTTTTATTGTAAAATTGTAAAAATTTATAATAATAATAAATAAAAAGACTAATAGACTTTTGGTTTAATATGGTGGAAAATAGATAACTTTTAGAAAATAGAATAAGATTATATGCAAATAGATAAGATGTGTATTTAGAATATTAGATTTTGTTATGAAAAGGGGAAAAGGTAGAAGTTGAGATAAGGGAAACTTTGGTCACCTAAAGCTTGGAAATTATAAATGCCAAATGTTAATTTGAATATTGATGGGAAAGAAGCAATAACAGAATATTGATTATATATAAGGATTGAATGCAAACACAATTAAGATATGTATAAGCTAAAAATTATTGATAAATGTAACAAAGATGGTTTTACTTAGTTGATAATAACTATATTAGCCTAATATGAGATAGTAGATATTAAGGGAAAAAGAGAGGAAATATCTGATGTTGTAACTTGGGATTTGTGCTAAAGATTTATGTATGTTATTGAATTATTGATTACCCAGTTACCACGTTGCTTTTTAAATGTTTAATTGTAAAATTAGAAAACTAATAAAATATTATATTAAACAAAGTAGAAACAACTCTGGGGAAATGTTTTGTTCATTGCAATATACAGTTGTTCTCAAGGTCACTTTTGTTTTCTTTTTTAATTTTTGAGCCCTTGTGTTAGTGTGGACTCCCGGCAACAGTCTGGACAAGACTCTGAAGTTTTCTTGGACGTATTTTTTGGAAATGCAAGATTATTTCCAAGAGTTACAAGAGTTCATTTAGTGACCATTAGAAGTTACATTGAAAAAAGTGACATTTTTTTACACATACGACCATTGCAGCGCCCACACAATCATGTGATCAAAATTCAGATGCTTGGCAACTGACTCATATTTATAAAGTTTGCAGTATCCCCGAAGTCATGTGGCTATCTTTGTAACCTTCTGATAAGCAAAATCAATGGGGAAGACAGGTTCACTTAACAACTGTGTTACTAACTTAACAAGTGCAATGATTCACTTAACAACCGTGGCAAGAAAGATCGTAAAATGGGGCAACATTAACAATTGTCTTGCTTAGCAACAGAAATGTTGGGCTCAGTTGTGATCACAAGTCAAGGACTACCTGTGGTTTGCCCTTGACTGAGAGAGAGAGTGACTGACCCAAAGTCACCCAGTTGGCTTTGTGCTTAAGGTGGGACTAGAACTCACAGTCTCCCATTTCTGGGCTGGTGCCTTAACCACCAGACCATACTGGCTCTCCTCACAATTCTTTGGGCACCCTATAATATCATTTACAAATAATGGCAGTCCTCATCTCACCAATCAATAAAGATCAAGGGAATAAAATGTAACCGCAGCCAGTATTTCAAGAAAATGAACAGTAAGTACTTCATGATGTCCTGCAAGCTCAGCCAACAGATGATCAAGCTTTGCAATGTTGGCTCAGCAAATACTATGGGCATTCAACAAGAATAAAAATCCATACATGATTTCATTGATTAAAAGATAATTTTCTTTCTGGGTTCCTAACGACAATGCAACAAATTTCCTGCTATTTCTTTCATCCTCTCTCTCTCTTTTTTTTAAAGAAAGGAAATGCCTTTTCTACACCCAGAGATCTGACTTCCATATCTATGTTCTGCTGGCAGTCTGTTTCCTCCTAACAGTTATTTTCTTCATTGCAGTTCTTTACAAAGGTACGTATTTCATAATTTTGTTCTTTATTGAGTAATCTTTGGCTTGGATTCTTTCAGCAGGGTGGAGAGGTATATGCTCTTATTAGTTACAGAGTAATCTTAAACTTTACAGAAGCATTGCCAAGTCAAAGACCCCATAAAGCTTTGTACACTACAGCCAGCATTTGCTGCTCCTTCTGCATATCATCATTTTTGAGCTGATGTGGCAGAAAGCCAAAAGAGTTGAGAATCCAAGGAATCCTATTTACACTGAATCATGTTCCATTTTTAGGCTTTCTGAGATGATAACCCTTGGGATCCTGAAATGAGACAGTTCCTTTGAGAAAGTAGATGAGATTCCTAAGTCCTGAAAGCCTGCTGCAGCCTGTACAAAAAGAGCTTTCTAAGGGAGGATCCACCCATGTGAGGCTGTCTAGTTTCTAGACAACCAACAGGTCGAGTCTGAAATAATAATAATAATAATAACACTACCTTGACGTGGTTGTGGGGCTTGTGTACTCTGAGGAAGATGAGAGCTATGCCAGAGGTTCAACCATACTGGATAGGTCTCATCAGAGGAGTCAGACAAAGAGTGTCTCTCCCATAAAAAATATGGTGAGACGTAAATTGCAGAATGCCATACCGGCTCGGACGTCGCCCGGGTTAACAAGGTCCGCACTAGATATTGGAGTTCCTGGATATCTGGTGAAAAATGGGTTACAGGACTCAGGACTGTTGGCTGAGCAACCAGGGCCAGCAGCTGCAGAACTACTGGAAGAAAAGGTGTTTACCCGTCGCAGATACACAGTGATGGAAAACAAAGAAATAATGATCTGTTACTACAGATCAAGTCCAACAAGAAGAGGATATCTAAAACGAATGCACCAGTTCTGGAAAGAACAACATCCAGAATCAGAAATAACAGAACAGAGACTAGCAGATCAACGCCGATTTATAACACGAAACAAAATATTCACAGAAACAGAATTGGACGAACTGCAAAGGTTTACCCAGGGCAAAGAAATCAAAGCCTTACCAGAAGTAATTCAGAATGTAGAGGCTAACCAGGGGGAGTTGGCAGTGAAGGAATCTAGCAGAAATATACAACTGTTCTCATTTGGAAACCAGGCACCTCTACCTCAGGAAGAACAAAACCCTCTAACTAAAGAAATAAAAGAATTGAAACAAAGAATAACTGAGCATCTAGAACAGCACAAAAACAACAGAATAAGGCTGCCTGCATTGAAGCTTGTTCCAAAGAAACAGCTAGCACAAGCATTAAAAGATGCAAATACTGCAATAGCAAGTATAAGCACCAATTCACTGCAAGAAACAAACCAACTAATGTACAGCACAGCTGCAGTTATAACAGAATACCTGGGATGCAAAATCAACAAAAAAGAAAAACAAACAAACAGTGCACCAGAAAAATGGAAGGTTAGACTAGAAAATAAGATCAGCAAGTTAAGATCACATGCAAGCAAGCTAGAACAGATGAAAGAAAAGAAGCTGAAGAACAAGAAGACCAAAGAATACCTAATCAAGAAATACCACTTAGAAACAAGGAAGATCAAGGAAGCACTGGAAATAATAAAGCAACAAATAACAGCTATAGCCAGGAAAATCAGTAGATATGAAGCTCGAATTGCAAACTATAGGCAGAACCTCCAATTTCAATCCAATCAGAAACGTTTCTACCAATCCATCAATGGAGAAACTGCAAGGAATCCGTCAGTACCTGACAAGAAAGAAACAGTGCAGTTCTGGAAGCAGATATGGGATAACCCAAAGAAATACAACAAGGATGCGGCTTGGTTAAAAGAGGTGGATGCAAATAAAACAGAAGTTGAAATGAAAGAACTAGTAATAACAACAAAAATGGTAGAAAAAAGAGCAAAGAAAATCAAAAATTGGTCAGCACCAGGTGAAGATGAACTGCATGGGTTTTGGTTGAAACATCTAACTGTTATACACCCACTCATTGCCAAGCAGTTCAACAATATACTACAAGGAGGAGAAATTGAAAAGTGGCTAACAACTGGGAAAACCTACCTAATAATGAAAAATCCAGCAAAAGGGGCAACACCAGGTAACTACAGGCCAATTACCTGCTTACCAACAACTTTCAAATTACTAACTGGTGTGGTAGCTGATGCAGTACAACAGCATCTAGTTGAAAACAATCTCTTTCCACCTGAGCAGAAAGGAAACCGCCCCAATAGCAGAGGAACAAAAGATCAACTCCTAATAGACAAAATGATCTTGGAAAACTGCAAGAGAAGGAAGACCAACCTGAATGTGGCATGGATTGACTACAAAAAGGCATTTGACTCTCTGCCACATGATTGGATAATCAAGTGCCTAGAAATAACAGGAGTCAGTAGAAACATCAGAAAATTTGTGCAAAGATCGATGGCACAATGGAAGACACAGTTGCAGATCAATGGTGAGAAGCTGGGAGAGGTTAATATCAAGAGAGGGATATTTCAAGGAGATTCATTATCACCATTACTATTTGTTATTGCACTGTTTCCTCTGTCAACAATACTGAATAACTCAGGACATGGCTATCAAACATCAAAAACATCTGCTATACTATCTCACCTCCTTTACATGGATGATCTGAAGCAGTATGGAAAAACATCATCTGAAATAGAATCGCTGCTCAACACTGTCCGTATATATAGCCAAGATATTGTAATGGAGTTTGGCTTGGACAAATGTGCCACACTTACTATCAAACAAGGAAAAGTAGTGAAAACTGAAGGAATCAAGATGCCCCACGAAAATAACATTAAGAGTCTGGATGAGGAAGATTACTACAAATACTTGGGTATTCTTCAAGCTGACAACATCAAGCACACTGAAGTCAAGAAAAAGATTAGAGGTGAATACATCAAGAGAGTGAAGAAGATCTTAAAGTCCAAACTCAATGGAGGAAATACCATAAAGGCAATCAACACCTGGGCAATCCAGTCATTAGGTACACAGCTGGAATAGTGGACTGGACTCAAGCAGAACTAAAAGCAATGGATAGGAAGACCAGAAAAATAATGACAATGAATCATGCCCTTCATCCACGCAGTGACATTGATAGACTTTATCTACCAAGGCAAATAGGTGGGCGTGGAATGCTACAAGTACATCAGATGGTTGAAGAAGAAAAAATGGCTTTGGAAGAATATCTGAAGAACAATGATGAAGATGCACTGAAATTAGTATATCAGGAAGGCTTACTAACTACTGGAGAGACCAAACTGGCCTACAAGAAAGACCAAATGAAGAACAGAATAGAGGCATGGGAAGACAAAGCACTACATGGCCAATACATGAAAAAAATAGCTGGGAAAGCAGATAATAATAAAACCTGGCAATGGCTAAGAGCAGGAAAATTGAAGAAAGAGACCGAGGGACTAATTCTGGCTGCACAAGACCAAGCCTTAAGGACAAACGCATACAAAGTCAAAATTGAGAAGACAGCAACAGACAGTAAGTGCCGCCTATGCAAAGAAGCTGAAGAAACAGTGGACCACTTGGTAAGCTGTTGCAAGAAGATTGCACAAACTGATTACAAGCAGAGGCATGACAAAGTAGCAACAATGGTGCATTGGAAGATCTGCAAAAAATATCATTTGCCTGTAAGCAAAAACTGGTGGGATCATAAAATAGAGAAAGTCATAGAAAATGATAAAATTAAACTGCTCTGGGACTTCAGAATTCAAACAGACAAGCACCTGCAGCATAACACCCCAGACTTAACAATTGTCGATAAGAAAGACAAAAAAGTCTGGATAGTGGACGTGGCAGTGCCTGGAGATAGCAGAATAGAAGAGAACGAACTGGAGAAGATAACAAAATACAAAGACCTACAAATAGAAATAGAAAGACTGTGCCAAAAGCAAGCAAGGGTAGTACCAATAGTAATAGGCTCCTTGGGTGCAATCCCAAAACAACTGGAGCACCACTTGAACACCATTGGCATTGACAAATTCGCTATTAGTCAATTGCAAAAGGCAGCCTTATTAGAACTGCTTCCATCCTGCGACGATATCTGTAATACCATCAAACATCCACATCTGCCTATCCCAGGTCCTGGGTAAGGACTCGATAGGTAGACAAAATGCCAAATCCAGTCTGAACATCTGGCTGACTGTGCGATGATAATAATAATAATAATAATAATAATAATAATAATAATAATAATAATAATAATAATAATAATAATAAAAGTTGGAAGGGACCTTGGTCTAACCCCCTGCTCAGGCAGGAAACCCTATACCATTTCAGACAAACGGCTGTCCAGTCTCTTCTTAAAAACTTCCAGTATTGGAGCATTCACCGCTTCTGGAGGCAGGTTGTTCCATTGGTTAATTGTTCTAACTGTCAGGAAGTTTCTCCTTAGTTCTAGGTTGCTTCTCTCCTTGTTTAGTTTCCATCCATTGCTTCTTGTCCTGCCTTCAGACGCCTTAGAAAATAGCTTGACTCCCTCTTCTTTGTGGCAGCCCCTGAGATATTGGAACACTGCTATCATGTCATCCATAACCCTGCTCTTCATTAAACTAGACATAGCCAATTCCAGCAACCTTTCCTTATATGCTTTAGCCTCCAGTCCCCTAATCATCTTTGTTGCTCTTCTCTATACTCTTTCTAGAGTCTCAACATGTTTTTTACATTGTGGTGACCAAAACTGGATACAGTATTCCAAGTGTGGCCTTACCAAGGCATTGTAAAGTGGTATTAACACTTCATGTGATCTTGATTCTATCCCTCTGTTAATGCAGCCTAGCACTGTGTTGGCCTTTTTGGCAGCTGCAACACACTGCTGGCTCATATTTAAGTGATTGTCCTCTAGAACTCTGAGGTCCCTCTCACAGTTACTACTATTGAGCAACGTACCCCCTATACTATACCTGTACATTTGGTTTTTCTTGCCTAAATGTAGAACCTTACTTTTTTCACCACTGAATTCCATTTTGTTAGATAGAGCCCAGTGTTCACGTCTGTCCAGAGTTGGCTCACCTGGAAAACAAGTGAATTGGAGAAGGGTGATATACACTGACTAGCCAAATAACAGAGTTTTGAGGAGGAACTTTTTCCAGCTATTTAACCAGGGATTATATTCTGCCTCTGTTTCCTTCCTGTTAACATCATGACTGGGTAAATTGCAATTAATTTGTGAGCAAACTGAAAACACTAGAGCAGGCATGTCCAACCTGTGGGCCACAGGCCACATGCAACCCTGGAGAGCTGAAAACGTGGCCCCACAAGATCATAAACTTTTAATATTACTATTTGATATTTTATTATTATATATATGCCATTAAAATAATATATATTTTATATGAGGCCCAAGACAATTCCTTTTTATTCAGTGTGGCCCAGGCAAGCCAAAAGGTTGGACACCCATGCCCTAGAGAAACTAAAAATATCAGAGCTGCCGTAGCTGTAACTCAATAATGGAGAATATGGTTTACATGGATCAGTTCCCAGATCCTTAGCATCTCCATGTGGAGTTTGAGCAGGGGGGGGGGGAATCAAAATCTGAAATTTTGTTACTATTTCTGGTAGCTCTTAATAGACGTTTGCAAATTAGGACTGAATGATTTTATAATTTTTTTAATAAAATTATAAATTATTTTAATTTGATTTTATAATTATTGATGAGATATGGAAAGAAGATTGTTTTTACTAAAATATTAGTGAAGGTGTTACATTACTGAAGTTGTTCATACCTGTCTGGAGGGAGAGGGTGTAATCTTTATATTTATATACCTGTATTTCCCCAAAAATAAGACCAAGGCTTGTATTAATTTTTGGTGCAAAGACACATTAAGGCTTTTTTTCTGCTTAGGTCTTATTTTGGGGAAAATATGGTACTAAATGCGTTTGTCTGGCTGACAATCTTAACTGGGACTTATTTTGGGGATAGGGTTTATATACACACATTTTGTTGTTGTTAATAGCGAAGTCGTGTCTGACCCATCGCGGCCCCATGGACAACGTTCCTCCAGGTCTTCCTGTCCTCTACCATCTTCTGGAGTCCATTTAACTTCACGCCTACTGCTTCAGTGACTCCATCCAGCCACCTCATTCTCTGTCGTCCCATTCTTCTATTGCCCTCAATCTTTCCCAGCATTAGGCCCTTCTCCAGTGAGTCCTTCCTTCTCATTAGGTAGCCAAAGTATTTGAGTTTCAACTTCAGGATCTGGCCTTCTAAAGAGCAGTTGGGGTTGATCTCTTCTAGGACTGACCGGTTTGAACGCCTTGCAGTCCAAGGACTCACAGGAGTCTTCTCTAGCACCATAGTTGTGTATTTTTTTCTATCTCTTCTCTTTTTTTCTTTATTTTTTTATATTTTTTAAATAATTTTCTTAGTTTGAATTAGTCTTTTTTCTTGTATTGTAGACTTTAATAAAATCATTATTTAAAAATGAAATCCTGGAGAACTCCCAACTTTTATTACTGATAGCACTGAATTAGCTGAACTAGCAACCTAACTGGGTGGTGTGTACTGTCAAGCTTCCTCTTTGACTAGTCTCTTGAGAACTTAAATGCAGTATTTATCTTTAAGTCATTTTTTTCTGAGGCAAAAACCATTTTTCTTCTTTTTACTGAAGCAAAAATTCTATTACAGATTAAAATAGATAAAAATGTTAGCAAAAGATTACATAGTTTAGCATGGCACAGCTTTCATGTACCAAGAATATTTCTATATTAAGACTTGTAAAAATTCATTAATCCCAACTAAGATGAATCAGAGCTGCCTATTTCAGATAACTTCAACGTGAGTTTCCCTTTTCCTAAGTTTATATTTACTGAATTATTCGTCTATTTACAAACACCTGAGATAACACCATCTTCTTTTCCCAAACAGAGAATAGCCTTGTGTCAAACCTCTTTATCAATGTATATTTTTCTGAGAGAGGAATTCATAAGTAGACATGCTCCCAAATACCTATGTCTTCTTTGAAACTACTTTTCTGTCACTTTGCAGAAGTCTGCTTATTTAATGAATTTATGACTGTAACACCCATTATTTTAATAGTATTTCCTAGCTCTAAGCATCACTGATAAAGGTTTCTTTAGATACCAAACTCAGAATTAGGACCTGCAATGTAAAGATCTCTTCTGTCTCCCCTAGTTGATGCTTCATTCTCTCAGAATTATTTATTATTTATCAATAAAATTTGTATATGCGACTCCAGGTGTTCAGCAATAGAAAAACAAGTATTAAAAACAAGAAAGATAAAAAGTATAAAAACCAACTTAAAAAATAAATATTATAAAAACAAATATTGAAGCTCTAGGCCTAGGCAAAGAGAGAATAAGCATGGGTATTAACAATGGAGTCATCTGAGCATATCTCCTGTTCTCTGGGAACCCTAGCTCCGATTACATATCCAGGTCTTACAGGGCTTCTGGAATATCAAAATGGATGAACCCAATCTAATTTCAGAGGGAAGAATGTTCCATAAGGCGGATGCCATAGCAGAGAAAGCATGTTTCCTGGGACCCACCAAATGTAGGTCTCTACTTGATGGTATCCGCAGCATGCTGTCTCTGCCAGATCTAAGGGGCAGGCTGATGTAATTGGGGAAAGGCAGTCCCCCAAATAGCTTGATCCTCACTTCAGAGACAGTTCACGAGGCCTATAAGATCCAGCTGTTGCTTTTAATTTTCTGCAATATAACTTTCCTCATCCGGGGCTTGATGGTGGATGAGAGGTAAGACCTGGTTTGTAACACTAAAAACTGAAGGGGAGAAGTAGAAGCAAGTGCCTGTCTCACAAAAATGCCTACCTTGGAATCAAGACTGGCATCAGCCGTGTTTTCCGGGTAGGGGAGAGGAAGGGGTGGCAGTTGTTGCTCGGGGCTGTTCAAGTTCCTAGAACCTGAGATGAAGTCTTGTTTTTGAGCCTGGGCAGTCACATGCCCTGGAGTAAAATTCTCTTGTTGCCCATCTCTGGGATTACTGTAATTTCCCTCTGATGTCTAAGAGTCTGGGCACAGTCGGCTTATGTGTACTTCTTTGATGTCACAATTTCTAGGATCAATTACTTGTTGATCGAATCACCTTTCACTCCTCCAGCCAGAATGGTTATGCCATTGATTCCATCAACGGCCCCTTCAGACCTGAATGCTGGTTATCTGCCAGCTCCACCTAGCTCCATCAAATGGGCTCTGCTATTGACAGGAGATCCATTGCACTGGTTGGAATAAGCTGTCAATCTGCTATGTCCAGGCTGCTCCTCATCTTGGAATGTTTCTGATGAATAGCCTGTGCATCTATGCAGAATTCTGCACTGTGGTCTTGTTGGGCAGCATCTTGAATTCCTACAAAGTTAACAATTGCAAACTGTAGGAAATGTGAGGGCTCATAAGTTCTGCATACTTGAATGAGTCAGTGTGGACTGGTCCATTCAGCATTCTAAGACATATACAGGAGGCCTGGTGGCGCAGTGGTTAGAATGCAGTATTGCAGGCTAACTCTGCCCACAGCCAGGAGTTTGATCCTGATGGGGCCCAAGCTTGACTCAGACTTCAGTCCTTCCGAGATTGGTAAAATGAGAACCATTATGTTGAGGGTAAATGCTGACATTGTAAACTGCCCACAGAGTACTGGAAAGCACTATGGAGGGGGTGTATATAAGTCTAAGTGCTATTGCTATTGTAGTTTACAAATCTCAATAGCTAGGATTTTGCACGTTCCTAAACCATTATAAGCTAGATGAGTCAACCCAGCTGGCAGAAGCTAACGCTTTATTATCAGCTTTAAAATATGAAAAGTTACTGATTCTAAATGCTGACCTTCCCTCCCTTTGTTGTATTTTTTCAGTCACAACTCTTTCATCAGAAATGGACAAACTAAGTAACTTTAGGCAACAAAAATATTCCCTTGATGACGCATGTAAGTCTTGATGGTAACCCTTCCTTGTTATCTTCCTAGAGTTCCCAGCTATAAAACAACAGCATTGTTTCACTAAATTTTCAGTTCTCTAAATAATCACAGCTGTAAGATTCCTTTTTTATTGTTTTCTGTATTTATTACCTCTGTTGCTTAGTAGCTCTATTTCACAGAAGGAAAAAGAGAATATACTGGTGGATACTGGAAGGGCCATGGCTAACTCTTAGAACTAGGTGGAAGGGGTCTTCTGTCCTTTACACTTTTCTCCTTTATAAGAAATGCTGCAAAGTTGGAGAGCAGATTGGTCCTCTGAAGGTTTAGGCAAAATCACTGAACCTTTGTCATCATAGTTGCTTTACCTGCACTGGGCACTTTTTAATCCCTACCTACTTAACAGGAAAAAAATGGAGTTAGAACTGTAACTTTAAAAAAAAAGATAATACACATTCTTCCCCATTAGCCAAGGACTTCAATTAGGACAATGATGATGAAGTTTTCAGAGTTTTCAAGACAGTAAACTTTAATAGGCTTATTTTCCATGAGTCTGTTGTTGTTATTGTTTTTTTTAAAAAGCCACTAATTCACAATCCACCCAATGCAAATCAGCAAATGGAGAATGAACAATAATCTTGACTTTAATTCTCGTGAGCCAAATTGTAGACCTTGATTACTATGATTTACAGGAAAAGGCACCTTAGGTCTTGATCTAAATCTTGTGCTGTTTTCTGCAAAAGTCCTGGCCCACAAAGTTAAACTTATTCCATCAGGATACTATTTGTCAAAACATCAGGGAGAGTGACACACATTCCAAGATTTGAGACAGAGGTATGATTTTGTGTTTTTTCTCCTCCTTAGGAAATAAATTAATCAGATTAAATATGCTGAAAATGTTTATTTAATAAAAATGGTTTTGGCCATCAGCCACAGGAACTCTGGGAGTCATTAACCACTTACCATCTTTCACATCTATTCCATACCTATACCATACCATTGTTGATAGTAATTAAAAATAATAGAATCATTCCAGAAGATGACATGAGATGTCTGTGGCTTACTTTCAAAGAGATTTTCTCACATTTTATGAAATTAATCAATGTTTCCTTTCAATGCAGTGCCAGGCAGCCACCTAGTGGATTAAATAAACTTGGCTTGTTTCTGCTTAGTTGGCAATTTGAGATTTCAGCTTGTGGCATGTTAGGAATTTATTTTGCCATGACTTTCAGAATCTAGCAGCCAAATTAAAAACTTAGCAAGTCAGATGTCTCCAGATCTTTCATTGCTTGACAAGATCCTAAGTGTGAATCCAAAAGTGCATAGGTTATACTTCCTTAATTTTTTTCCCTTCATTTTATACATATTCTATCTTTCTGCCCCAAAAGTTTCAGATTGGTTCTGGTATTATGTGCTTGGTAGGTTGGATCTGCCAAAGAAAAACCTGGAATTCAAAAATGGAGATGAAAATTGCAATTAACCAAAAGTCACGGAGATTATATGTTAAACAAATCAGGATTCCAGTTTGAATTAACACTCTTTTTTTTTAAACCAGTGTTCCCTTGTGGCCCTAATCACACACAATGGCAGTACTTTCATGGGAAATGTTATTTCTTCTCTCTGAAGAAGGCTACCTGGAGATGGGCCAATGATCAATGCAGGGACAATCGTGCACATCTGGTTGTCATCGATGATATGGCCGAACAGGTAAAAAGTGGGGACTGTGGTTGCTTCCTTGGAGAGCAGACAGATCTCATAAGTATGAGATATGGAGAATATGAAAGGTCAAGTAGCTTGCTACATTCAGAGGGACTCTTCTCTGCCATGTCTACATGCAAGGTGGATTTGGACTAGGGAGACACAAGCATAAATCCCCACCCAGCCGTGAATCTTAGGAAGTTGTTTTGATTCAAATGTATTTTCTCAACCTAATCTATCTTCCTGCAAGAATAAAATGAAATGAGGGGGGAGGAGAGAGAGAGAGAGAGAGAGAGAGAGAGAGAGAGAGAGAGAGAGAGAGAGAGAGAGAGAGAGAGGGAGAGAGAAGCAAAATAATTATATCTACCATCTTGAGTTTCTAGCAGAAAAAATGGCAAGCAAATGTTATGGTAAATAAATGGAATAAATAAGACAAAATTAGTGTCAGCAAGAATATCCGTGTGAGACATATGACTCAAGGGATCTACGGATGAATGAGTGGGCACTTACAAGCTTACAAAACTCATGGCACCAAATTGCATTCATATTTCTATAAAGGCTAAAGGTTGCATGGATGGGCAAACTTTTTGCTCCAAGGGAATACATGACATTTGTCAGTAATGTGCATCAGTCATGCATGTGGTCAGAGCTGTCCTCTCAGTCATCCAGGTCATGGTTATCCCAAATGTGCTTTCCAAAAGGCAACTGGACTTTTTTTTTTTTCCCCTTGAAGACATTTTGCTTCTCATCCAACAAGCTGAAGAACTGAATAACAGATTAACAGAATAACAGAGTTGGAAGGAACCTTGAAGGTCTTCTAGCCCACCTCCCTGCTCAAACAGGAAACTCTACCACTTCAGACAAGTGGTTGTCCCATCTCTTCTTAAAAACTTCCACTGTTGGAGCACTCATTAACTGTTCTCACTGTCAGGAAATTTCCCCTTAGTTCTAGGTTGCTTCTCACCTTGATAAATTTCCATCCATTGCTTCTTGTTTTGCCTTCAGATGTTTTGGAGAATAGATTAACCCCGTCTTCTTTGTGGCAGCCCTTAGATATTGGAACACTGCTATCATGCTATCATCATGCTATCATCATGCTATATCATGCTATCATGCTATCACTGAAGAAGCTTTTTGGATGAGAAGCAACACGTTTTCAAGGGGGAAAAAAAATCAGTTTCCTTTTGGAAAGCACCTTTAGATCAGAACTGTCATCTCCCTTTTCTCCTACCTTAAATTAAAATCCCAAATCTTTTTCTCAAATTACACATGCACAATTTGAAAAATAGTACTGTTTCCTTAGTCACCCATAAGCTCTCATTTACATGTGTTCAGAGTAAATAGGCTGAAATCTGGGACTGGAGGATTAATTGCCCATGCATGTCTTCCTTACTATCCTCCAAGACTTATGGAATAACTTGGTCAGGCTAGTGGGGGAGCTATTTTCATGGAAGAGATGGAAGTTTTGCCCACCATCCTTTCTGCAAAACTGTAATCAGACAGAATTATCTGTACAAGGAATGTGGCACTTAAAAATGATTATTCTTAGGTGCCATCCTCCTCAAGGAAACACTGCTCTCCTCACTGGCTCAATTAGTTTGGTTTACTGGAGGGGGAGGGGGAGGAGGGAGAGAAAGATTTGGCTCTTGAGCTATATTGAAGAACTCTGTGTTGCATGTGGCCCTCATAACACAAGTTGCTCACACGCAGCCTAATAGATTTCTAAGCAGCCGTATGACTCGAGTGACAAATTATGTAAAATATAATTTATTTAACTTATTTATTTGATTATATCAGACAGGATTGTATGGATTTGCATAGTAGAATTACTAATAAGCTCTAGTTTTCAAACCAGAGGCTAGACTCATATAGCAGGCTAAGCCAAAACCAAATAAAACCCATCTTAATACCATACATGAATTCAGTCAAACATTTCTACAGCTCATCTTGACACCATACCACTCCCCAGTCTCTCATTAACATGTCTTAAATTGGATATGTGCTAGGTCCAGGAGTAGGCAACCTTGGCTCTTTTATGACTCATGGACTTCAATTCCCAGAATTCCTGAGCCAGCCATGCTGGGAGTTGAAGTCCACGAGTCATAAAAGAGCCAAGGTTGCCTATCCCTGCGCTAGGCTTTCACTCCTCCAGCTTCAAAACACAGAGAACAGGGACTGAAAATCATAGGTTTTTCTTTAGTTGACCAATTAGAAAGTACAAAAAAATTATTCAATCATGCCCTGCCACAAGATATTGCAGTTTGTGGAGTTTTAAAATCCCTTCACATCATTCCCACTTCATGCAACAAATTAAATACATTGCTAGCAGGCCTTCATCCAGGTTTTTATGATGTAATACATGCATTTCTTGGAGAGAGAAAAACACCTGAGCATTTACAGTAAGGGCAAAGATGCCATCCCTCTGCTGTAGTTAAAAGCCCCTTACTAGCTGTGAAGGTGAAAGAAATGCTGGCTCTTTTGCATTTAGGAACTGTCAGAATAATAATTTGGGGTTCCAACTCAAGCCGGGGCTGCGCAAGAATAAATAAAAATGAGATCCAGACAGCTGGGAAGAAAGAAGAAATATTTATTCCTACAAGCAGAACAGTTTGTACTTAGGGGCAGCTGCAGAGAAATGGGGCACAGTAACCCGATTAAATAGGGGAGCTTGTGGAAGTGTCTACATTCTGATTCTAGGGTGATGCTTGAGGGGCGTGTGTGTGTGTGTGTGTGTCTGTGTGTGTGTGTGTGTAGGTATGTTTATTCTTGTGCACATGCAGTTCCACTGGGAGATCTAATTTAATTAACTCTGTATTTAAAGACCTTATCCTTTGATATGTGGATTAGGTCTGGGTAACTTAGATTGACCTTAGAAACCACAAAAGCTCTTTCACACATGCAGTTGCCTTTGATTGCTTTTGAGCTTCCAGATGAGTCCATTTTAAGAAACTGATCCAGCACAATGTGGGCCATTACAATCTAACTATCATCTATCCAAAGCTCTGTATTCTACCCATGCTGGTCTAAGCTAGGCTCACCTATGCATCTCATGAAGTGAACTGCAGCTTTTAAATAAAATGTGTTAGTCAGAAAAGATGCTACCAAATTCCTGATTATTTGCCAACATATAGAGCGAGCAACTAAATTTCATTTTTGATGTGTGCCATTGTGCCCACAGTAAAAAAATGACAATAAAGGTTATCTCATCTCATCTCATCTTATTTCATCTTACCTCATCATATGCTGTAACACAGCTCTCCTCCTAGGTCAGGCACGTCAAATTGACGGCCCGCAGGCCAGAAACCGCGCCCATCCCATTGCAGGAAATGGGAGAAAAGTTGCGATACAACGTCACGTGACGTCGCAAGTTTGACCTGCCTGTCCTAGGTCAACAAAGTTTCTAGTTAATTCTAGCACAGATGTTTGCTGCTACCAATCACTGCTTGATCTGTGCTCGTAGGAGGTGCTCACCTCATTGGAATACTATTGGGATACTAGGAACCAGAGACAGGTAGTCTTCATTTAGTAACTGCCTCATTTAGCAACTGTTCACAGTTACAGAAGTGATGAAAAAGTAATTATATGTCCAATCCTCACATTTATGACCATTGCAGGTCTATAAATTAAAGGGAAGTTCTAGTAAGATCATAATCACGGTCAAGGTTTCATTTAGCAACTGTTTTGCTTAATAACTGAGTTATTGGACCCATTTGTGATGGCTAAACAAGGACTACTTATACTCTATGTTCCACCCTTTTAATTGCAGTTTTCTAATCTGGCTCTGTTCTCATCAAAGCAGCAACTTATACAACAGCCAAGGTAGTCAGACAATGTTTAAGCAAGAGTAGAGAATTTGTGGACATCTAGCTGTTGCTGAACTATGATTCCCATCATCCCTCACTATTGACAACTTGCCTGGAACTATTGGGTTGTAGTTCAACCATGCTAATCAAGACACAGTTTCCTTAACCCTATTTGTTGTATGAAGTGCTACATCCTCTCCCAGGATGCATCATTCTATTCTTCTATTTTGCATCAATCACCTTGTAATCTTAGGCCTCTGGATATATAGACTCTTTAGTGGGCGTCTTTGGAAATTTTTGTTTTTCAGGCTGCTCTTCCCACCCCATTTTCTCCTTGTTATGTGCTCTTGGCTACTTTCCTTCGCAACCAGTGGCAAGCTTGTCTGACCAATAATCAGCCAAGACATACTGAAGGCCTTTTGTTTCATTTATTGCAATAAGCAGGGAGAAGCCATCAAGGCTTGGTTCTCTCCAAAGTTCATCATTTCAAATCAACACCTTTATACATTCCTTACCCAGGCTGCCCATCCCTTCTCGTTCCCCATTGGGTGAGATTACTATGAGATTACATTTTCTATGACTGCCTTCTACATATTTCCTACAACCCTCCCCAAATACACTAAATCATACATTGTGTGTGCATTTAAATGATCAGATAATGTATGCAAGGTGTGCCAATTGCATATTGAGCATGATCTGTTGCCTTGTTCTCTAGTTCCTGTTTATTTTATGGACTCTTTCAATAATAGGTTCTTACCTGTTATTCAATTTGGTTAGTTTTCCTGTTATTCAGTTTGGTAAATTTCCTATTTTTGTCTTTCCTGCTTTTCAATTCATTTTGTTTTACCTTTAAGCTAGCTATTTCCTCTTTCCGCTCCTTCCTCTTACAGCTAATTCCTCTTATAACTAATTCCTCTTACAATTAATCCCTCTTACAATTTTAAATTTTGAAGATGTTTCATCTACTATCACTCTTTTGATTACAAACAAATCCATGTTTGTGCACCCCGATAACAAAATAGTGGTTGAAGAAGCTGATTTCAATTAACTCAATATTCACACCTTTTGCTGTACTTCTCTATCCTTTTCTTTTGCAGATTTTCGTTCAGACACGAGCCAAGAATGAGCGTTATTGGATAGGACTTACAGATATAGAAACAGAAGGAGAATGGAAATGGGTGGATAGTACTAATTACAGACTTGGCTTCACGTAAGCACTGAACATTGAATTTTGTTTGCCTGTCTCCAGATCCTAGGTGTCAAACAGAATGTTTTCCCAAATATAATCTGTCAAAAGCTTCTTTTAAAATAGAATGTGACTAGTAACCATTAGAGTAACCAATAAATTTTAGAGGCAGATGTCTTGAGAAGATCTGCTTGTTACACCAAAATGTAAGAAGAAGAAAGCCAAAATCTAATATTTTGGCCTATGTATAGATTCTGTATTTGAAAGCAAAGTGTTCTCACTTCAGTCTTTATCCTAACAAATGTTATTAATCTGAACTCAGAATTGTACCTTGGCTGTTCTCCAGTTCTAAATTTTATTACGGAGAACAGATAAGGCAGGAAAAAGGCCCCTGCACTTTTTAAAATTTAATTTGATTTGATTTACGTTTTGTTAAAAGGAGCTCTTGCCAAGATGATTAATCCATGCATTTAATAACTCTCCCCTTCTCTCAAATTACAATTTAGTGATAATTTTTAGAGGTTTCTGGGACTATAACAAAACCTTTTGGGAAAGGGTTTGCATGCAGCTCTGGAGCTTCAGATTATAGTCCTCTTTTCTAAAAGATCAAATTGTACATTATTTTAAATATAGAATTAAATCTCTGATCTGTGGTGCTAGAGGCAACAATTATGCATCCCTTGAACTGCAAAAATAACAAAAAAGTCCTAGACCAAACTTCACCAAAAAATATCACTTGAAGCCAAACAGAGGCTGTCATATTCTGGTTATGTCATGAGAGCAGACTCACTCAAAAAGATAATCATGCTGAGAGTGATCAGCGGAAAAAGGAGAAGGGGCTATCCTAGTACCTGCTGGCTGGACACTGTAAAGGATGACAGCGGGATAACCATGGTGGATCGAAGGAGGCAGTATGAGGTAGAGGGACATGGAGAGTGCTGATCCATAGAGTGGCCGAGAGTTGGATACAACTGAATGGTTGCCAATGGCAATGATATAGCTGGAACATTCCACTAAAAAAATCTAAACAGTAATTGGTACACCAATCCAGACAGGATCCATGTGAGCAGTTATCTGTTCTTTCTCTGTGGTTTTCTGGCTGAACATTTCCTGCAGAGGTGCTATTAGCCACATGGAGAGGAATTTCAGCGGAACAACAGGTAACACTACTATCCTGGTCAAACGTAGGGACAAAACCACATGATTCTGCCTCTGCAACCGGACACTTTGTCATCAAAAGCTTAGTCTGCATCTCCATTCCCACATCTGTTTTGCTGCTTTTTAACCAACAGCTTGTTACGAGTCATCTGATCATTTCCAAAACGGCAAAGAAAAAAAATATTCTGGCACCTTATAGAATAAAAAATTCATTACTGTTCAAGCTTTTGTAGACTTTAGGCTTTAGACTTTAGTGGACTATTGTTTAAAATACTATTGTATTTTTATCTCAGGTACTGGAAGCGAGGGGAACCTAATAATGATCTGTCAAATGAAGATTGTGCACATCTCTGGGGCAACGGAGAATGGAACGATGTTTACTGCACATACTTATGCTACTATATCTGTGAAAGATATATGCCAATGATCTTCTAAAAGTCCTCACAGCACAGAAGAGCTGAGGGCCTAATTGCCAAATCCTGCAGATTTTACCAGAGATGTCTTATATCTCATTTTTAAAGACATTAATGTTATAAATCCCAAATGATTATTTACTATTACTGCCAACTGCCAGGATTTAGTTATTTTGTAATTCTGCAGCTAAATCCATGAATTTCTTAGTCTGGCTTTTAATATATTTTGAGACCTTATGGGACGTGTACATTCAAACATCTCACAGTTCATCTTCATATTTTAAATAATGTAAATGGATCCAGAGATCCCACCAGTGGAGTCATCTAGCAAAATGTCATCCCTTTTACTTAGCATTCTAATGGTGTTCTCTTCATTTGGTTTGCTTTTTTTAATGTAAAACTTGGAGAAAACATGGAAAATAACTATCGTTTTTTTTTTCTTTGAAAAGACTTTGTGTCCTGATTTAGTCTCTGTATAAAATGCTTCCTAAAAAATTCTTGCCATTCATAAGGACACAGCCTGTATGCCTTGATCATATAATCAAACTATGGCTGGGGAAAAGGGTGATTAGCCATCAATAAACACAGAGATAAACCATGGTAGAAAAACACTGCCATATGTCAGAAACGTCTTAGAAACAACCAACAGACTGTTACAATCACACAGCATCCTAAGCAAATCAAAAAACCCTGTAGACCTAGAAGAAGAAAAGAGTAATCTACAACATACATTGGATGAACTGTAATAGTAGTTAGTTAGTTAGTTAGGTAGGTAGGTAGTTAGGTAGTTAGGTAGGTAGGTAGGTAGTTGGTCGGTCAGTTGGTTGGTTAGTTAGTTAGTTGGTTGGTTAGTTATATTTCCTATTTCTTAACCACCCATCACCCTCAGAAAGAGGCTCTGGGTGATGTACAATGTAATCAACATATAAACAATATATAAAATTAATAAAACATAAAAAATATTTTTAATTATAAAATATAACAATATAAAGTTTCAAAATGTGAAAAATTGCTAAATGGGCATTTAGCAATAGTTTATACAGGTGTGTGTGAGTTCTCTTGGGCCGGCCAGCCCCATGGTTGCATGGTCTTCTGTGCCCCCCATTTAAGGCTTTGCCCCCTTTATGGAAGGCCAGGAGAATATTGGCCTGCCTCACATCTGAGGCAAATATATATAGGACAAATAGGCAGAAAACTGACAGAGCACATACATAAACACCAATTAATAGTCAGAATACATGATGAAAACTCCTTAATCTTACAGCACATGGACAGACTGTTAGGAAAACTGTTAGGAAATTTCTGAAAGCTTGACATTCAGCTAAATCAGCTTTCTACAGACACATAAACCACATTTACACACCTTTCAAAAGAGATAAAAAAATAAGAAACAAAAAACATGCTCTTCAGCAATCAACACTCAGATAAGCAGAGATTAATAACAGACAAACAAACAGAAAACAATGTTCTAATTAAAGAACATTCAAAGTAAAAGCATACACCTCCCAAAGTGGTAGGGCAAGCTACTTTATATAAAAAGGGAGTAAATCCCACATTGATATTATCTAGTTGGGTATTAAAACATCTGCAAACAAACAGTCAAGCTTAGGGAACACCAATACTGTATGTAATCTATATGTTCACAAACAAAATACCCTCACAATCCACACATTTGCAACTATGGTTTTTATATTGCATGGCAATGTTTCTGAAGCTCATTATAGATAGAGGTTTTTTAAAAGTATCATTTTAAATTTCTAGACATTGATATTTTGCTTATTTTCTAAATTAAAATTAGAAAACCAAATAAATTTACTTTTAAAATGCATTAAAAAAATGACTGACCATACTCTCAATTTTTACATGCTGCTGTAGTCAAGCCCCAAACAATGATTCAGGCAGGGATATGAAAAGCATCATTTAAATATAAATTCCATTTTAACTTCTGTCTGCCCACCAGCCCATTTTGAGATCTCTCAGGTTAAAATATAAAATGAAGAAAGGACCGTAAGGCAGAAACAATTCCAAAGAAAAAGAAAATGAACTCTGCAATGACAGTGCAACTAGCTAGGTCATGCCGAAGCAGGGGAACTTAAAATGGATTTTGTTTTAAAGTAATATGTAGTTAAATGTTGACTTTTCCTTTTCTGCTTAAGCTATTGCATTGTAAGCAGTGTGAGGAAGAAAATAGAGCTAAGTCACAATTGCTAGTTCAGCAATATTGATTTCCTCTTATTGTGCATCCTTAAGAGGAAAACAAAGAGCAATGTTGCAATGGGCGGAATCACAAGTCAAAAGCAAACAATTGTGTACATTCTTCAGAAAGTGACCAGAGGCAAGCTCGCCTGACCCATAGCCAAGACACAGTGAAGGCCTTTTCTTTCATTTATTGCAATAAGTGGGGAGAGAAGCTATCAAAGCTTCGTTCTCTCCAAAGTTTCAACCCAAAATATTCCCTTCTTTATACAGCCCTGTCCCAGCCACCACATCCCTCCTTGTTCCCCATTGGCTGAGGTAATGTGAGATTACACTCTTTCCAACTGCCTTCCACCTATTTCCTGCTACATACTAAATCGTACATCACATATACATTAATAATATAAAATATTAGACATATTCAGTTAGATATTTTGAGCTCTGATATTTGTGGGAAGAAATTCTCTCTGGTTCATTTCTCCTGCTGGGGACAAGCCTTCAGTGTGCACGAAAATAGACACCAAGCAAAGCAAGCTGCCAGAAAGTTGATATTTTAATTCAGAAGCCAGACAGAATAGTGATTCTGTACTGGATTCTGGGCTAGCTAGCAAAAGCCACCTAAGTATATGGTACATTTTGATACTCTTTCTTCCTGTTGAAGTATTGATGAGATTTCTAAGAAGTTTATTTTTCTTAATTTCCTAGCCTGCTCTTTTTCCTGTCAGAAAGTTTTAATCCGATCACCAAGGGGATGAGATAGCTTGCTGATGAGGTTTTTTTGTGTGTTTTAGGTTACTCCTGTCATGGGTTATGGTCAGTGGTGGGATTCAAATATGTGAACAACCGGTTCTCTGTGTGGATGCCACTTCTGGAAGTCCATTCTGGGCCTGGGCAACAAAAAATTAGCTATGGTTCTGCTGAAGTGGTGCAAACTGGCTGAATCCCACCACTGGTTCAGGTGTGTTTTTGGGGTAATCTTGTCATTGGTTTCTATGTGTGTATGGGGCAATTCTGTCAGTTCTTTATTGTTGACTCAAGGCTAGTGCTTGTTGCTACATTGTATATCTTTTGCTGTTTCTCGGCTGTCTGCCCTAAGCTATTAACTGGAGCCTAGAGGGGGAGGAAGGGAGAGGAGATAGAGAGAAAAAACCCTCTTCTCTAGTACTTTTATTATCCAGCTTGACTTTTCTAAGAGAAGAGAAATGGTTATTTCTTTTGAAACAGTTTTCTGTAGTTGTACTAGCTGGTTTCTGAGACTAGGCTTTCTGCCTCTTTTCACTCTTCCTGCCTGTTTAATATTTCCAACATTTTCTTAATTTGAATATGATTAATAACTAATTAATATCTATTAAATGTACTGCCTTTTTTTAGAACAATAGATTCTTTCCTGTTTTTCAATTCAGTTAACTTTCTCTGGCTAGCCATTTCCTCTTACAGCTGTTTTTATAACTTGCATTCTTCCTTTCCCAATTCTGAAAACCCAGATAATGTTTTGCCAATGTGTTTATCTTACATCCTCTCTTTATGCTATCCTTTCCTGGTTCCCATCCATTGCAATTTCTTTGGCAGGCTTGTTTCTCCACTAAGTAAGTTTTCACTGCAGCCAATGCAATTTTTAATTTTTCTTTCAATATTAAATTTTGAAGACATTTCCTTTATTTCTATCAGGTGGAACAGCCTTCTTTGTTTCACAAAACTTTGCTGTGAAAATATCACTACAAACTACAAAAGGTCTGGCTTCCAGCTTGATTTCAAAGTAGCCTGCTCTTAGTATGTGAATTTTTTTAAAGAGTAAAATTCAAAGAAAGTCAGTTTGATGTAGTGGTTAAGATACCAGGTCAGAGATTGCGAGTTCTAGTCTAACCTTAGGGACAAAGCCAGTTGGGTGATCTTGAGTCTGTCATTCTACTTCAGCCTTAGGAAGCAAGCAGTGACAAACCACTTCTGAAATTTTGTCAAAACTGCAGGGATTATCCCGGATAGCTGTCAGTAGTCAAGACTGATTCAAAGGCATATGCTCACACTAAGTGACACACATCCCATTTGCTGAGATTTATATGAGCAATCTTAAATGTCAGTTTTCAATAAAAATACATTAATATAAAGTTTCATAATACTTCCAGCTGGAATTTCCAGCTTTTGAGCCAATTCCTCTCATTTCTCTGGAATTCTTATTACATTTCTAATAATTTGTTTAGGGATGACTGAAGAGCCTATTTACATTTTTGAATGAAGAACAAAATGGTGCAACAAGAACTTGGGAATTCTTATTGCACATAGGGCACAACTGGGTTTTCAAAAGCCACAAGGAATTTGAAAACCTGGAATATTGGTTCTATGTGGAATTGCCAGAACTGAACAAAGCAACTTTGAGGAGACTTCACTTCTCCAACCAAGGTCTCACCAGGCATGATGGGTATAGTATACATTTCCCAGGATTCCTGGTGTGTAAGGAGTATCCTGATTGGGAATCTATCTTCATAACTTTTAGCTGATGCTATGCCCCAAGGATTGCCATTGGGACAAAGATTAGGGAATTTAGTCTTTGTGGTCTGCCTAGAGAACATTGGTTTTTCTGGTTTTGTCAACACTACTTTCATGCAATGGATGAAATAATTTAAAGTTCCCATCAGCTAGCAAAACCAAAGAATATTTGCTTTCCTATATTCCTTCTGCTTGTTATCTTTAACATACGCATAGCTGAGGGAGGGTGTGTGTTACCACCCTAGTTCTCCTTGATCTCTCAGTGACTTTCAATATTATCAAACATGGTATCCTTCTGGACTACCTATGGGAATTGGGAGTGGGAAGCATCATTTGTCTGTGATTGCTATTGTTGGTATTCATTGTTGAAATGTATTTTTGTGCAACAGATACAGTAGTATTCAGCCAATAGATGGCAGTGTTTACAAGTTTGGATCTATGTTATATACTCTATGTTCTTTTGTTCTAAGCAGAATGTCCTGTTTCCTGTTACAGGTAAACAGTTAAGCAGTAAAGCACATGGTGACTGTACTCTTTGTTTGATCTGTAGCATTATATATAAACAGAATTTCTAACAGTTATGGTTAGCTTTGGCTCTGAGGAGTTTGAGGAAAAGGATCCTGTGGAACAGCAGCCTGCCTCAGAAAGCAGCACATGAGTGTGATTTAGTGGAGCACTGGAAACAGCATAGGATGATGAGTCTGATTCAGGACCTCATCCCAGCCCTAAAGCATG